ACAGGATGGAATACCTATTTTGTACTACCAAAGCTCCTCACATTACCATGTATCAATAAGCAGCTTAGAAGGATAACTTCACTGGATGTGAAACTTCCTCCTAAAAAGCCACTCGAAGAGTCAGTCCATACGTGATATGGTTCCCGTTATTGAAGGATGAGTGGCGCTACGTCCCGTCTAAGCAAGAGCTAATCACACTGCTTATCAGCCGCTCGTGGCCAAACAGTTAAGTTGTTTGTTCGGAAGTCTGTTTCGTGAGATGTTCACTGCTGATGATTCTCAACAAGCTGCAAAAAGCTGTACAGTGCTTTTCAGATGAGATTAGATTTACTGAAATCTCTGGTAGATGTCACCAGATCTCCTCAAATCACACTGAAACAAAAAAACCTCGATCCATCCGAATCACTGCCAACTACCGGAGGGACAGATTTGGAAACAACTTCCTTCATTTCTGTGCTAGAATGACGTATTACATATCGTGGGGAAAGGCAAAAGCGCACATCGGTCGACAGATTATTCAGGGTATTCCCGAGAGCGCAAACTATAGGAACTTGGCTAGAAGCTTATCCATGGTTGCCCAAACGTCAACATATCAAATCGACTAGATTTTTTCGTCCAGCACCGCTAGAAGCAGCAGCAGCTACTCTTGGCTTTGGACATATCGGTTTAAACACACAAACGATTGAAATAAATAAAGTCCTTAAGGGGGTGGTGTGTTTTCACTGCTCAATTACATTGGTAGGTTGTATACTACCGGTGAAAGAAGGAAAACCCTTCGCCATGAAGTCTTTTATTAGCCAGCACTAACTAAACAGTTACAAACTATTGGACAGAAAAGTAAACGTCTCATATGCATATGGTTTTTAAAAACTGAACATTTTCACGCGTCTTCTTGAATTTTCATGGATATTCACTGATTATTACACAACTGTCAACAAATAGTGCAAAGCCGTTCCACAAGTTCCGTAATAAACTTCACTTTCCATTAGACGCGAGGAGGAGTTTCGACACGACCACAGACCACTCGCACACCTCATCAGTAGTGTACGCCGTTACGCTGGTATTATGCCATAAGCCGACTAAAGTACGATGGTACACGTTTCATTGCTGTAAAACCAGAAGCGAACAATACCTCACCGTCTGGCGCATGGGGAATTCGTACCGGAACTGTGGATTGTGTGTGCTTTCTAATTGAGGTCTGATGTTTTAGTGGCATTTGATACTCAACCGCACTAACAATCTGTCTAAATAGGGCTAGCTCGAGTGCGTTTAGTGGTCGTTGATCAGATGACAGTTGATCTGTTATCCATTTTGGCAGTTTACTTGCCAACGTTTCACACCATTTGACGAGATATCGTCGGTGCGCGTTGGAGCGCAGCCAGGGACAAAGCCATTCGTACCGAAAGCGTCGTCTGTGGCAAAATTCTGGAAGGGCATACTGTTTGCTTCGTAGAAAACCGTTGAAATTCGGGTCATCTCGCCTTAGGTGGAAAAGTTAACAAAACTGTGTTTCACGGAGGTTTGTTGCTAGGTTCTCCACATGAGGATCGACCTTCATCAGGTCCCTTGCTCAATACAATCTACTGGTCCCATCTCGCACGATGGAAAAGCTGGTTCAGTGCAGTTCTATATTATGCACAGTAGTGCCTAGGAAATTCGAGACACAGCACTGCAAGGAAGCTACAACCGACTCAATCGCGAGTGCATGGATCAAAAACATATTAAAAATTGTTCCTAGGGAATTTCACCAGCAATTACCGTCTTGAAAGTTAAAACTGTAACCAGTATAAAAAATTACAGCTCGCCGAACCAATTGAGGACAAAAGAGGTGGTAATGGGAACAGATTGTAAACGTTTCATCACCAATCGAGGTGACCCACTCAACCCTGCACTGACGATGTCACCTCGATTGGTGATGAAACGTTTGCAATCCGACTGCCAAGCTCGGCGAACAGATCAACAACCAAACAGCGCACCCGAGCTATCTACATTCCACAACATTGCTAATAGGAACAGAGTCTAATCTAAACAAAAGAGTTTTCCCGCCAACTATGATCAAGTAATGTCCTTAGGAATAGACCTGTGAAAAAATTTTTCCGTAGTAAACTCTCTTCGGGGAACTGTCGTATACGGACGAAAAAACATTGCCAACTCACTGTTGAACAGTATTCATTGCACAAACAGTACTGTCTCCCGTACTGAGCACGTAGTATGATATTGCCGAGATGTCCCCATTCGTCTGAAGCATAGTCTATATGAACTGAGCTGCAGCTGAAAAAACGCGGGTTCGATCTTTTCGGGTGAGATTCACACATGCTTTTATGCCTTTAACTATTTCGTCTACTGTAAACTGTCCATTCTGGAAGGGTGGCGTCCGCTAGTAGCAGTCGCTTGGCTATTTCTAGAATCCTCTTTTGGCACATTTGTAAATAATGAAATGACATCGAAACTTACCAGGATGTTGTCTGGTTCAACGGTGACACCCGCTACTTTGTTGGAAAAATAATTTGAATTCTTAATGTAAGAACTAGATTCCCCAGTAAGGGATTTTAGAATACTTGCCAAGAATCTGGCAAGTTCATGCGCTGGGAAAACTATTCCGTCTACTATCGGCCTTACCGGAACATCTGGTTTATGGATTTTTGGTGGGCCATAAAGTCGTGGTTGGATTGCACTTTTCGGGTACAGTCGATTCCAGGTGCCTTGCCCTAAGTAGTTTATCACGGACCACAAATATCTGCCAACTTCAGCTTTACTCCTATTCATGACGGATGTAATATTCGTATTATCGATCTGCCGGTATCTCACTCACTTCGTTTTTGACTCCGTGGTTTACACTCAAGAACAAGGTCTTGCAATGGGATCTCCAATATCCCCGGTTTTGGAAAATGTATTTACGGAAGAAATTGAACAGAAAGCTTGGGCCGGATTCCAATGCCCACCTAAGATATTCTGGCGTTACGTAGATGACACTTTCGTCGTGATGAAACGAGACAAGGTCAGTGATTTTTACAGTTATCTCAATGAACTGAGTTCACACATCAAATTTAGTATGGAGATAGAGTCAGCCTCGGGTACACTGGCCTTTTTAGGCTGCGTGACACATAAGGCCTGGGGGAAAATAAAGACCACAGTGTACGAGAAGCCAACCGACACTGGCGCACTTTTGAACTACTCGTCTGCTCATCCGAAGTCGGTATTCGCCAGCATTGCCTCATCAATGTTTAGGCGTGTAAGGGTGCTGTGCACAGAAACTGATTGGATAGAGGTCCAAAGTGTGGCCCACACTAATCTAGAGTGGTAATCCGAAGAAGTCTCACTGATTGGTTCTCCGTCTGCCTTAAAAACTGGTCAATTGGGTGACCTGCTCACTTGGCCTGATGAAGCTTTTGTGCCAAAAGCGAAACGTTGCCCAAGTAAAAAATACCGACTATTTATCAAACCCTGCTGAAGGGATATCGCGTCGATAGTTCAATCATTCATTTAGACCACGCTCCCTTATACCATACTAAAAAGCATTGTGTGTGCGTTGGTGGTGGACAGAACTTGACCAGATTTTACAGTGCGTGGCCATTATCGACTGACATGTAACGACCATTGAAATAAACTTTTCCTGGGCCCTGGAAAAGAGAGGTGCTCTACGAACACCTGAAGTTTATTTTATTAAGGATGAACATATGAAAACCGGATTTTTCGTGCGGAAACTCCACATATCCTTTTCGGTTCACCTACAGCTAATTCCCCTACTTCCACCCTTCACTTCCTTGTCTCAGTATGTTTACCGGTGACCTTTCGCACACTTTTAGTGTTGACGCTTGATCTGCTACGTGTTCATACTTGTCGGTTTGCGTCTATGCCCACATGGCACAAGCTAGTCCGCCTGCAGTGTCCTTTCTCCTTAACCTTATTGACTAGCAACGTCACGTTCCCCCCTTTTGGATGTGACCTCCAAAAACGTCTATCTGAGTGGGACGTCGCTAGCGTCGGGTTCTCCAACCCCATTATTTGGGGCCCAATTATCATCGTTCTCCAGAGGTTTGGAAGGTTTCTGTTGGTTATCCATTTGCACCATGTCCTACTTCGCATTGCATTGGAGTCGTTAGGAATGCGCATCAACCAACGTCAAGAACGGGTTATCACTGCTCCCACACTAGTGTTATTAGCAAAGTCGAACCGATACCTGTCCTACCTCCTAGCTATTCAACCGATAGAACTTAAAACCTTAAGCATATGTATACCTAACCTAACATGTCTTTTCCGGAGGATCGCGAACCAACTCATCAAGCAGAGAACGCAGAGGAATGGACCCTACGGAAATGCGAATACGACACCTTAGAGCATTTTAAAACTGACTGGTATTATCTTTAGGATGCTTGTTATAACAGTGTTCATCTACGGTTTCAGAAGAGGCGTAAAAGGCCTTGGGTTGTAAGCCATAGGCCAGGTACTCATTAAAATGTATTCCACTCACGACGTCGCTGGATCCTCAAATGGAAACCTCAAAATGAAACAGGGGGGTTCATCGATAGCGCAGAGAAGGTTAGGGGATACCGCCTCCAAAAGCCAAGAGTTCCTCAACAAGGCTGATGGATATCACTTGACAGCTAATGAGACAGCTGTAAGGCTGAACTTGGACCCTAAGTGGACAGTTTCTGAGACTCATCCGATTCCAGTTCAGTAGTTTGAATAGATATCTTCATCAGAAGACTACATAAATACGATGCAGACGCACGGGAAAATCGAAAAATAAACTTATGGCCTTTTGCTTACGGGACGATTCCGGTCTTAGCTGAGGTACTGTGGGATCTGTCCCACGTCGCAGACAACCACTGGGACCCCAGGTAGGTTGGTCCAAGCTCGGTATAATGAACAGTTAACGTCTACCAACTGGACCAGCGTCCACGACAGCTCAGTTGGTACAGCGCACACATCACGGGTTTCAGTTCCTCCAGCCGTATCCAATCTCCCAGTTGCCTATATCACTCTAAGTGGTTTTTGGATAGTGCTATCGGTAACTTTCAGGATTTTTCTCCATCGGAGATGAGCTCATCACATACATTATTACAGTAACAGGGAAGTGAGTTAACGAAACGTAAAGAATTGGTCGTACTTGAAACAAAAAAGAGGACTAAACCAAGATAGTTTTCTAGAAAAACATGTACTACACAAATGCTGTTTCAACGGCCTGTTTGTGTTGGTGGAAGCGAGCGAAATGCGAACCATACAAACTCGGGAAATGAGCTAAGACATAGACGAGTGAGTAGGAATGAACCACCCGGGGGGTTTTAGAAGGTAGATGCAATTGGCAGGCCGAAATCAAACGAGCCGGAAGAATCGAAACACAGTCGAAAGACAGTCAAGACGATTACAACGTGCAGAAGGGAGTAGTTGTGGTGAGGGGATGATGACAATAGTACGCCTAACACAAACGGATTTATTTCAATCGGCTAGAGGGGAGGAAACCCTTAGCTCACAGTGAGAGCTTGCTTCATAAATAGAGACATTTCCATCAAGTGTGCTGCATTGTGACCTGCGGCAGTGGAAGCGCTGGCTTGACGGCCAGTGTAGCTGCGGGGGGGGGGGGGGGAATGAATAAATTCACTGCGATTACCATTAGTCAATACCGGAACCGGACAGAGACGCAAAAAGTGATAAAGATAAACAAGATGGTGTGGTTGCACAGCAAAAAATAAGCAACCATCGAAAGTCGCCTATAAACTATAGGGCTTAGAAATGTGGAGCAACCGTTAATTGTTCGCTCACTGAGTACGCATCAGTGTACAAAAAGCCTCGCAGCAGAGACCACTGACAGGAACGGTCGACCCAAAGAAGTCGAGTGGGGTAATAAACACTTTTCAATGAAGTGGGATATATGATGACCAACTAGTTGCCTTTCCCATTCAGTCTCCGAGTAGGAACAGCGTAACTAGAGTCATAAGAACGAAGTTGAGAGACAACGGCCATCGTTACGGTTTCTTACCGTACTTCAGCGAAGAAGTTCTAGCTGAGATCACTTCGGTATGGAATGGATCCTGAGTTCAAGTGAGGCAACTTAAGTCAAACTGCATAAACTGACAGAGGTAACTAGATGGATCATCAACATACTTGGTGCTTCCAGAAAAGAGACTGAACGACAGGATCAGATTAGTGGCTTCTGGCTCTGATATTAAGCCGTCTCAGTTCAAGTTGGTGGCGGTCACGGAAAAACCAGTAATGTTATAGGCACCATGCCTCTGAACAGATTATGAACCTTGTCAAAGGAGGCTGTGTTCAAGTGTGTCCCACGTGTAAACCTCATTCTCACTTTCTCAATCCGATCTCATTTGTTCTGGCCATATAATATTCAACCTGTTGCGATTGAGGTGGCTCCGTTGCTTGTCCAACATCTGCCAACCAATGTCCAGGTTAGAGGAGGGCTCTTTGCAAGTTCGGCTACTGCACTCGAGTCTGCAGAAGGCTGAGCACCCATGTCATTACTTCCCAACTTGATAACTTCCAGACGAATTCCCTGTTCCCGTTTTCCATATTCTCTCACGGTCAACTTTGACTGGAGTTACAAAAATGAGTTGTTTTGCCCTATAGTCACTCCAGTAAATCATAACGCATAGCCGTCGATGAGGATCTCCTCCCACAGAATCTCGCAGATATGGAATTTTGTGCTGAAGCTCCGCATAATTCCAACAAAGTAAACTTATCTGCCCAAGCAGTCATACTGTTTCATGAAGTTGTTTATATGATATTGTGTTCTCAGAGGGGCGAATATGTATGTAAGAATTGTCACTAGACCATAACAATGGATTCCCAAATTTGTAGAGACACGAAGCCTCAAAAACAGGTTTCCACTGAATGTACCAAGATCAATACCAGGACTAATTTATGCGACAAGAAAAAGAAAAACCCATAGCGTGGAGAAAAATGAGTCGATTAATGGAAAACTCACGTAAGGCGTTTGTGAAGGCGGTCTGCAAAGGCGATCTCGATCAAATGGTTCACTCGCGGCTGTACATAAGTCCATGCACCCATGTTCTTGTGCTCTTCCTGCACCCATTCAACGCGTGCTTCGGGATAGAGCTCCAGATCAGCTTTGAGTAGGTCGTACGGGAACGGAGTCAGTTGCTCTACACGACTAATGGCAATATCTGAGGCAAGTCCGACGGCGTTGCGCTGCTTCACCAGATCGTAATACACCTGTCACGCAAATGTGTCTAGTCGAATGAGATGTGTTATCGTCGGATACAGTGGCCCAGTCGCCTAGTGATAATCGAACTATTGACGTGATTCTCTAACTAACATTACTGGTGAACAAAGTGCAGATCCGAGGATGATCCTAATCACTCCTATCTGACAGTCCCTATTTGCTGCTCTGTTAATTCGATCAGCCGCATATTAAAGTGGCTAATTGAAATAATCAGGAAAAGGGCAGTCAAGCACAACGTGATAAATGGACTATTTGACAAAACTGCCTGCGAATGGGTGAGCTGAACATTCATGTTTATAGTTTGCACCGATGGATTCACCCGGAAGGTGAGGTGTCAGTCGTTTCGTGAAATCTAAAGACAAAACTAAATAAAAAACGCCTCAATGAGATACCAATCCGTTGTTCAACTTCTACGTTGTATGGCCACCTCACAAGCCGGACGGAAGGGTTGCAACATTGGCAAGCTATTACTCATAGAGAACCCCTTACAACAGCATCTAACACGGGACAAAAACCATATCTCTAAATATGGCTGCACGAACTGAAGGCACATAGTCAAACCCTAAAGTTGTCTAACATTCGAAATGAGTCAAACGTCTAAACAGCTCGAGATACGAATAAATGAAGGCAAAAGACAAACCCAATCAAGTAAAAATGGCGCTAAAAAACTGCGAAAGAGATTGGACACTGCAACAGACGAGCGCCAGGTAGGTTCTCCAAATGCCTACACACTTCTATTTGGAATTAATTCAAACAAGCATAGTCTATATGCTGAGATTTTCGCCAAGCCCCCAGTGCCTCGATCACAATGACGATGTACAGGCACCAGCCATCCGGCCGATGTCGTCAGCCACGAAGTTGGAGGTCAACCAAGGGACACTGCTCCTGTTTCTTCCAGTTTACCTGTACTTGGCATGCAAGCTACAGGCGATAACCGTATCATAGCCTCAAACCAACTAAGGCCTCCTGACACTGCTACACACACACAATGATGTGACTGAAGGCTAGTTGGATTGTTGTGGGTGGTTTGCGGGATTCACAGTAATTGGTTTCAAGAAAACTATCCGTGAGTTGGATTGTTGTGGGTGGTTTGCGGGATTCACAGTAATTGGCTTCAAGATAACTATCCGTGATTATCACAACGCTGAGCGATCTGCCTCACCATACTCTAAATGATCAACTTTGAAGTGCCTTTAAAAACAGCATAAAAAGCATATGTTACCAAACAAATCCCGCGCATCATAGCTACGTGTAGTTGGGAGGGTAATTAGCCGGACAACAACAATTTTCAAGGAAAACATACGCTCTAACGTGACCTGTTGTCGTCTTCATGACCCAGGTCGCTCAACGATGTGCAACTTTGAGCATGTGAATTCTATCCGTACCTTTTGTTAACAAGGGTAAAGGGTTATGGATTCTATGACAGCCCTACTAGAGGAAGAAATGTCTGCAGATATCTGACATGGAAAGCTTACTGTGAACTCTCCAGGGAGAAGGTTACTGTGGTGAAAATTCCCAACCCATGCTAACTATGCCCGAATTAAAAGCAGCTGCATGGGTCTAAAAGAACAATGAATAAATTATCTGAAAGGACAAGAAGCTTATTCCAAGGAAGGCTACTGCAAGACTGATCCGTGCTTTGCCACACTCCAGAATTAAGTTATCTGACCACTAAGACGCATCGTTCGTCTGATAGTCACCGGATCAGCCTTCATACTATAACAGCGGATAGTTTCACGTTGGTCGTTGGTTTCCCCACTGAGCTGCACTACTTGGTTGCAGCCAGCCGAAGTGACATCATCAGTGCATTGAGGTTGGGAGCTTCACACGCGACCCAACAAAATATCCTGGGGGACGTATCAGTTGAACGCTCCGTTTTCCATTCAAATCGGATGGCCGATGATGTACCTAGTTTCATTCTAAGATTTCAGATGGAAAACAATAACCACGGGTTATAAAGTACACTCAGTCTCCTGAAGACATGATGCAAGGTTGGGACTATCCCCAATCCACGGTGAAAAAAATTACTGGCGAACAAAAATGCAGATCTGTATTGCCCTAAGGATGCACCGCGATGAATTGTGTAGTGGGCGAAGCGCTAGACGCAGCGCGATGAATTGTGTAGTGGGCGAAGCGCTCAGGCTACCCAAATTGGAGCACTCAAGGCGCTGCCACCCAGTGGATTTACGACTAGTCTTCTTTTGGGGAGTGCAGAAATTGGCAAATATCAGGTTGTTTGGTGGAACAGTGGTGAATGTCGTTGTGGTTATCGCCCTAAAGATGCATCCGGTGCATATGAACCCAGTGAATGATGTTCCAAGGCCTGGAAAGTACTTTTCGACAGTGAACGGTGTTTACCAGTGAGTAACACTCTTGATATGAACAAAACACGGGTCAGCTCCAGTCAAGCAAGGAAATCGGGCGAATCATCGTTGTCGATGCCGAGTGAATTAGTGGCTACAGGGACACAAGCAGGTGTACCTGGATCAGAACCATCATCAGAAACCTGAATGTTTCAAGTGTGAAGAGCACTTGGAAAAAACTGGCGACCATAATAGTGCTTTGCGTGCTACAAGAAATCCAGGAACCTTTAGAATAAACACCTCCAGCCGTTCCTGAGACAAGATATTTTCAACAGGACTGTCGACGGGCCAAATAAAAATATCGTGTATTGCAAGCAGTCACGGTTTCCTGAGGGAAATGAGTTCATCTAAGCGTTATCATCCAGCGATGACCGGTCGAACTACACTTTGGTTCACTTTGCGTTACATGCCATCTGTGGGTGAGCTCTCATAGCCCATCTAAGTTATTGTATAGTTGTTTTGAACACATGCTTGCCTGACGTGATTGTTCGAAAAGGAATTCTTACTCACCATCAAACATTCCTAGTTTCGTAGACAGGGAAGGGAATCTGAAATCTTAATCCTAAAATTCACCCCGCAAGTGAGACCGATTCGTCAGGTATTCTAGTGTGGACCGCGGAGATCACTAGGGAGATATGAAATCTGCAACCCCCCGAACGAGTCGGTCACACCGCTGATTAGCCAGCCGTAGTCAAATGGTACAGCGCCCAATTCCTATCCGGAAAGTTGAGGACCGAAATTCCACTGACGATGCGTAATGCACACTGTTGATGAGTCTCAATAAGGAGGGGAGAAGCGGACAATGCTTCTCGGTCTTTTGGCAGAGCTTAAACTAAGAGGAAAAACCACAGAAAAAAAAGAATGCTGACTCACTTTTCCACTGCAAAGGATTAATTTTTTCACGGCTTTAGGGTTTTGCGCTGCGTCACCAGATTCGGGAATATAGCGCTTGAATTCTGATCCCGGTAGCATATCTGCCCACGGTGATTTGCAGTCAGGATGACGCAGCAACGACTTCGGAGTGAACAAAATCAACTTAAAAACAAAGGGATACGGTAGACGTTACGAAAAAATCAGGGGAAATTATTCACAATAATCTTTTTCCCAGAGTTTGCCAATTCTTACAAGAGGAAGCTGATTGCACTGAGAGCAGACGCCGAAGATCTATCGATTTCCGAAAGGTCATATGCACCAAAATATCTGCTTTAAGCTCTGATAAAAAGTATGCCTAATAAAAGACTTCATCTTTAACATCTTAAGTTATCCACAGGAGCTATTCGCTCGACAATTATTAAACCCGGCAAAATTGTGCCAAAGAACTCCTATAATCTACTTGCTTGATGAAACGCTCCTTATAAGGTCGTTGAAAGCTCTTCAAAAACTCACGACTAGTCTTGCCCTTCTTCTGGATAATAATTTAGGCACAGTCCCCAAGTTTCCGTCAACCTTATGTTCTACCTGAATCCACATTGCACGTAATTTGCGAATTGCACTCCCTTGCAAGCTAATTTGATTTTAATCCAGGATTCACCTGAATTTTAGCTGATTCTCTGGTTCACGATATGCACCAAATGAATGTGCTGCACACAGACCGCCTCAATTTCATTTGGTACGATATTCGAGATATCGTGGTATATTTTTTGACGGAACACTACTCACAAGGTTGCGGGAAACTATACGGCAACCCACATCCGGTTTCGTGCTTCTCAGACCTCGGCAGATAAATGCGATTCCATGTCTCCCGTTGGAACCAAATAAGTGTACAGCTACGGAATTACGAGGATTGGATAAAACTTTTGGGTCGGTGCAACAAGAAACTTCTGTGAAAGGCTTCTGGCCCACTGGAAGCAATGTGACTGAACTCACTGTCGTTTTTTCCAATGTTGAGTATCTAAATACCTTGGTGTCATCTGAACCATTAGGGATAGGAGAACACCAAAAAAAAACGTCACATGATAGGCCCAGTGTCAAAATGTTGTTTCAGTACCAGTCTTATTTATTTATCATTGCCGATAAATTACACTGCACTCAAACATTTGTGCTGGATAGGGAAGCTGTTACACATCGATAACATAACCGCCGGAGAGAGAATGCGTCAGATATTGTCGAGCTGTTCAGAGATAATGCATATCCAATGCAAGTGCTTTCAAGGAGACGATTTGCTCACCAAAGCTGCCATAGTGGAAGATAAGCCGTTTAATTTCTCCACTTAAAATAGTAGTGGAAACAGAGGTGTCATTAGCCGATGTCCTCTTGAACGATTGAGCCTATTCATACTGCCGAAAAGATTAGAAGGGTTGATTTCAGAAGACTACCCCTCAAATGCAACCGTTGAATGCAAGTATCGGTTTCATGAACTTGACTTAACAAGCCGTACCATAATTACTTTGGGGGGTACTTCTATAAGCAAGGGAGCTGTACAGCTTGCCCTAAAAGAAAGAAACATTCCATCCTTGGGGGATGTAAAAAGTGGTGTTTTTCTGGGGATGTTCCTCACATGGAAGAAGACAAGTGATTTTATGAAGTGAATTGTTTTATTCTGTGTGGTTTTATGTTTAGGATGACATGCCGAGGCGGACAGAATATGCTAGGGCGGAAGGGAATGAAAGATGTGAAAGGTTTGGGCCCCGTTGGCGCTGTTCAACTTGCAGGATGGAGTCCATATGAACCTCCCTATGCTCGGCTGGAGACAATGAATGATATAGTTATTTTTACCATAGATTTCTACCCAGATCGTCTACGTTGGAGGTCTAGTAGACGTAGACGATCTACCCAGATCGTCTACGTTGGAGGTCTAGGCATCACTGATGTTTGTGGTAGGCTACCTCATGACCACTCTTCCTGTTTCCGTCTTCTTCTTTCCATTATGAGGCTTTATTCAAATGAACTAACATGGTACCGCAGTGAAGAACGAGTGTTATCTCCTCTGGCGTTGTTATCAATGATGATGACCACTCCAAGGTGACGAAGCAAAGACAGGCGGGTTACTACAAGATGAAACACATTATCTTCTTCCGAACAGTACGAAGTTAGAATCATCTTGTGATCAAGCCCCATGTGATAGGTACCGTTCTCAGCTGTGCTGAGCTGGAAGAACCGTCACTAAAGCAATAGGTGAAGATTAAAATCAAACGAACCTTTCAATCCTAAACCTTCCACTCCATCAGGCAGAATATAAAAGACTGCTATGGTGGGCTAAGATACAGTGTATAACTCACTGGTTTACGGAATGGCAAAAGTATTTGACGGCGAAGAATGTGGAAAAGGTTGGCCGGGGTAGTACAGATTGCCACTATCCAGTTTGTCTCATGTAGTTGCTGCATCGCAAAGTGGTCCGTGAACACCTGGAAGAGGCAACAGTGGAATCAGGTCAAACTTCGCTTCCACAACAACAACACGGTCATAGCAACAAAGTAAACAATCATAACAAGCAAAACACGAAAATCGATAGAAACGAGCGAAATGCGTACAAATTTGGTTGTAGTAGCTGAACAACTTTGACAAGAATCCGTCACCGGAGGCACGAGGTGCTGATCAGGCGCTGGCATTTTCCAATTCTCGCTCTGGGGGTGGATCAGAGTGGACAATTTGATTACGTGAAGACGATTAAGTCACGACTCGGTGGTCATAGAATGGGGTTGAGAAGTAATTGGACAAAGCTATTTGTAGCTCGCGTGGTCTAGATTATGGACGACTTACAGTAAGCCCTTAATGTTAAAATATCCTCGGCGGTGTGTAGCCTTGGTGTGAACCGCGAAAGTAGTTGCAGTACGTGCCCGGTTTGAGTCACTAAAAACGTTTGGAGGGGTGAGAATGCGGACTGGGATGTTTTCAGGTTGTTATATACCGGGATAGTCCTGAAGAACGGTACATTAATTATACGACAGACTACTCGAAACTAGACTCCTGAGCAACCAGTTCCCATGAGGCTTAGGGGTGAACAGCGCCAATACCTATGTAACAGAATCTGTCAAGAGTTCATGGTATCTGACTTTTCGGGTGGAGCTCCAGTGTCAATCTGCAGTCCCCAATACAGTCATCTTCTATCACAAGGAAGCTCCCTCGAATCGGCCAAAGTGAACCGTTAACAGGAGCCTCTTCGTAAGAAACAGAAATCACGAATTGAATTTTAGTCATATTCGTAAGTTTCAAACACCGTTCATCATGGCATTCATTTCAACCATGGCAAACCTTTTTAAACGTTTTATGGATAAACTCTGCATACGCATAACTTTGGGATACCAAGGAAGCGGCAAGATAGGTCTGTCAACTGGGCATTACGAAGGAACAGTGTAGACTGCTGGTTAAAAAGTGCACATTGGCCGCCAAACCACAAGTTGTAACAGAGTCGGGTTACATTTCTGAACGAGATTTAGGCCATCTACAGGTCGCCTACCTTGCTGAACCTCATTGCCGAATGACTCTTTGGAAAGTGTAGCATTCGTCCACGTGTAATTTCAACTCACCGAAGCGGTTTCACAAGGCGCCCCAGTCGATCACACTAAGATAGGTTACTGGGTGTCCGCAATATTCGAGTGGGATGGAACGCTGCAAGGAAGGCCATCCACTACATTAAGTCTGCAACGATCGTCTGGACTTGGCAGTACAGCAAAACCCATCAGTAGAGTCTCCCAGTGGGATGTCCCCTCTCCGGGAGGACATACGTACAAATATTCAAAATATTCGAATGGTTTACAATAGGCCCACTAAATATGGCAAGGCACAGGAAATCACCTGGTGATTTTTTCGAATCTGCAGTATGCTTCAGAAGTCCATGTAGAACAGCTTCATTTCTATTGAAAACTGATACGCCCAGTATGTGTTCGAGGTGCTCCTTCGAGAACACCTACTGTCTTTCCACATAAGCCAGTGTTTTGAACAGCACTGGACACAAATACAGCTGTCACAGATATCAAGCTTGATTAAGTCCGTACTGAAAATACTACGATACAAGAGATCGAGATGAGGTAATTGCGGTAGTTCTTTCCGTGGATGGACTTCGTCAGAAAACATCATCCACTCAACCTGGTGCCAGTTGATTCGAGATGTTCTGATGGGAACGGAATCTTACGAACCATCTATAGATGACTGTTGGCAGTGTTGGAATATTGGTGGCTCGGCCGTATTCAATGGTAGCTGATTACGTGGTGAACAGATAAACAGCCACTAATAGATGAGTGTGAAAGTGATGTATCACACTTGATACCTCTTGTAGAGGTATACCATGGACATAGGCATAAAAGAAGTAATCACGAGTGTATGTACTTTATATTCTGCAATCCCTCTCGTCTGTCATTACCTTTGTGTCTCAGACAGTTTAACTTTCATGATCTGATCTCTAGCCAGCCTACTATAGATATTTGATGAATCTCAGCTGTCTTGTAATGCCCCGCGCGGGGGAACCAATTATTTTCATTCAAGTGGCTCGAAAACAGCCACCTACCCGACAGGGTAGATATCTTTATGGATTTTACATATCGAAATCTTCAGACAGCGCGGTGACTGCCAGGCTCAGAAAGGTGTTGACTCCTTTTATCAATAAAATCGTTGATGTCCACCCGCTGATTTTATCACACTGCAAGGAAACCAGTGTACAGTTTAAGCATCGAATGGTATGCATACGCCCACAAAACTCAAAGATAAAACTTCAGATATCTGATCTGCCCCTCAAACAAACAGGGGCAAATATATCCAACATTTTGGTTTATATGATGATATGTAGTGGAAACAAGTCCTGATGAGAAAACCGGATACTCCTGGCTTGAGATAAACTGAATCGATTCAAAGCGTAATTAGCGCTTGCTCGGCGGTCCTTCTTCGCATCCTGTTGTCAAAATAAGGTAGTGTATCCTTAGCGACCTGAACTGATTCGCCCATAAGTCTCGCGAGTCTGGATGACGGACAATTAAGGGAAAAATCCGCTAGGTAGGAAAGTAATGGCCTTTTGGGAGCATTTTGTGGTACCAAAGGAGTGATTAGTGTCCTTTGTGCGGTTCCTCAATTCCTAAGGGCATTCTCGTCGTACGCCACTGGGGAATCCAAAAAGTGTCCAAGAGCTATCAAAGAGTGTCTCTGTTGGACGGTCCCTTTTTGAGGGATCTTACTGCACCAGGCAACGTGAACGTTACATAAAAGGACCGCAAAATTTGTTACATAAGTGTATCACTTCCGATCGTCTCACCAGATTACAGTGAATAGAAAACATGGTGATGAAGAGCACAGCTAGATCGCGGGACGGGAAATCCTGAAACAGCCTGGGTTAGGACGACCGACGGATCATTCAGCTGTAACATCCTTTCCGTGTCTAGCTGCAATGCCATCCGAAGGACACACGAGGACTGAGACTGCCCAGACTGCCTAGACAGAAGCAGTCGAAATGCTAGGGTTGGATTCCAACAACGGACCTTCCAGTCAGTAAGTCCGCTAAACTATCTCAACCAATTCAGGCACACTAGAGACAGTTTAGTGTGCTCGAAGGATGGTAAAGTGAAAACAAACGTTGTCCGACACTGAGCTTGCCGGAAAAAAGTAATAACAGCGAATTGAAATGCGGTCTGGAACTAGTGTACGAATAGTGCACAATCGATCGATGATGAAAAACAATGTCGGCTAACGAGCATAATGAGCAGCTTATGAGCGCCTGGGGTGTGATATTCATAGGGTTGTCAATAGAACAGTCGTTCATATGATTATCTTAACCTGTTCAGTTGGATAACGCGCAAAACACCAATAAGGTCACACGTCTTTTTGATTTCCTTCTATCTCAATCTAACTCGAAACATTCAAATAGTCAAAACACGCCACTCAAGTGCTATTCATCGGACTCCAGTACACATACTCCGGTCATACACTTGTGCTGCTACTTTTCAGGTCTACGCAAAACGCGTACGCCTCGCTTAGCCATCGATGAGCTAATGGATCCAGAAATCAAACGAAACTTTCAGAAGGGGCTCCTCGAATGCCTGTCGGACCGTCCCACGTCGGATATAAACGGCTACTGGGAAGACATATACAGTGCTACTCAGAGCCGGGACTTATGTTTGCGGTACAACCCAGCCAAATTCATCCAAAATTTGATTTCTAATAGGACAGCGGCTTTGCTGGAAACCCAGCGACGGATTCTTGTGGCCATAACCGCAACTCAATCCGACAGATCATCCGACACCACGTAAAACTGAGTGTCCATACAGACCGCGAAGCTTGGTGGATCAGAAAGGCGGAAGAAATGGAAGGGGCAAAAACGCTGGAAACATCCACAGGCTGTTCCACCTGATTCGCTCGACTGGTCCCCGGAAGCTTATTGTCAGCGGAACTATCATGGACCGGAATGTCTCTCTGGTATCCAGCAAAGGAGAACGTCTAGACTAGCACGCGGAAAAAGATGGAGAGATACGAGAATTGTACTATCTGGCACTTGTCTGAATAGGACAGGTATGATTCAATAAAAAAACATGACTTACTGGCACATGATGCTCATCATCACTTGACATTTGGAGAAATCTCTCGATGCGAGCACTGGAATGTTCTGGACCCATTCCTTCGTATCCATGTGGAAGGAGTAGAACCAACCCAGACTGTCGTACCCACTTTTGTTGTCCGGAAGAAATGAACTGATCCACAATACACTGAGCAACATTAGCGAAATCTCCAAACTGAGCCTCCCATATAACAAGAGCATTTGGGTTGGTCAACGAGTAGCCCAGTTCGAAACCCATTACAGCGTACTCGGAGAGACTGGAGTTACACACGGTGAATGGGGCTTGAGAGGGGAACAGATGGTTGAGTGGAACGTAAGTCTTCTTGTCCACGTTCTACGGAATAGAGAGGGAAATCCATAGAACAACATAATATTAGACAAGAGGAATATTACCAGTAATGTGAAGGACAAGAAACATACGTTTTCCTTGATAAACCAGCATGACTGCCGAGATAGTCAAGAAAACTGTCATCCAAAAGCACATGACTGAGCAAAAATAAAATTCGAACATAGAACGTAAAGTGTAAAGGATCTTCTGCAGTGAATAATCACACCTTAGGAACCTCTTTTATTTTGTGAATAGTTATCTGAAGCCTTAGTCATTTTGGGAACTATGGATGCTTACTTCCGACTTGTTCTTGAGGAAAGGAGGGTAAACACTGTTCAAAAGAGCCAGTTAGTCGACGTATTTGCTTCGATATCGAACTTCAATCTATTCTGGCAGTATGCAACCTCCGTGGAACCAAAGTAATGGACCGGAGCTCCGCTCCCAATGGCGCGAGCCAAGAAACATAGCGGGCAGATATACCAGATATAAAATTCGTCGAAATAACCGCAGAAGAAAAATGTGACGGTTCACTGGGTAAGGATGAACTCAAGTGAAAAGTAACCCAATAATATTACCACAAGCTGTCCGCATTTTTAAAGTCGACCCTCCTAATATATTCATCAAAATCAGGAGAAACGAGGCACGTGATAGCTGTATTGACAGTTAAGCGCGAAGCACTGAGCAAAGTACTAGTAACATTAATTTGATCTGTTGTGGAATTAGCATCATAGTGCACAGCCATAAACATGAACTGAATTTTCAACAAAATGAAGACTTCCGTAATAGCTCATCTTAGAGCCATGTTGTCGATGTGAAAATCGTCCAAAGGCTTGCAGACTACGAGATTAGAGCGAAGCACGAATAGACACATTGGCAATTAACGGTACAATCACTCGGGACGCGAAAGTAAAAAAGGAATGGAATCCTTCTTTGCCAGAGCTATCCAAAATATCAAAATAACGTGCGACAAGTCCTTCCAAATCGCTCAGCTGTAGCATCCTTTCGGTGTCTAACTGCCATGCCACACGAAGGAGGCACGAGGTCTGGGATACTGCCAGGTTGCCCAACCCTAGACAGGGTAAGTCCAGAGGCAGAGGTCGGGTTCAAACCACGGACCCTCCGGTCAGCGAATTCGCGCTTTGACCACTTGGTCCCTTTCGCTTCCATGACCCTCCAAAGAGTTGTACAAAACCACCCGCTATTCAGGGGCATTCAAAAATAGTCTATAGGAGGCAAATGTTTCTCGAACATTTCTTCCTTTACGAATACCGCCCATGGATACGGTCCACCCTGTCATAACGGCACTCTCCGTTCCGGGAAAAAGTACTGGTAAGAACTATTGAGATCAGTCACAACACTCACTAAACTGATTGATAAAATCCCACTACTATAACTGAGATATGAAACATTAGATGGGAAGTTTTTCAGTAGCCGAAGATATTTAACAGGCCAATTATTATTAAAGAATCGTCTTGATTAACGGTTGGAATATGCCATTTAGTGCAATCTAACACTGATATTGATTAAGGAAACTGCTTCTTTACATTAGGTATGTGATTGAGTTTCAGAATCGTATGCTGTTAATTACTTGTGCGTCTTAAGGTTGAAAATACTGTTTTCCATCATTCTGGATAGATAGCGTGTTACAGCTATTTTCAGTTCGCCAAAGCAGCTAACTTTTTATGGAGCTGCAAACTTGCCTTCCGCGTGGGAAGCACGGAGTCTAGAGACAATGGCGAATGCCGGATAGCGAGAGGAAAACGGCGGTTGCCAAGGCGGAAGACTGCAGGCGTTAGTGTATGCGGGCGTAGTTATAACGGACGAACGTGTACTTCAAACTACCGTTGACTAATGAAAACTTTCGGACATATGTCTACAAGTGTTGGAACCACTGAAAACAAATGTTGCAGAATTCTCTGAGAATTAACCGACTAGCTCCGATGGACACAGAAGTAAGAGAGTTTTGATGACAGACAAATCGAAGAACGCTTACGCACCCACTTGTTGAACACGGCACAAGTTAAGATCAATCGGCTTATTTGTGACAGCATACCTATCCGAATTTCACCACCAGGTACGGAGCCAGGATCATTTTCACTGACCCTCAAAAAACGAACTTCGCTTCATTGTTCACTCATATCAATTCGTGAGATATGAGAAAAGAGATCACAACTAGTTGACAACTAGCAGACAAGAGACCAAGCTCTTTCATTTAGAAGACCTTACTAGTGCTGAATGTGAGTCAAAAGTTCTTGTAGGTTAGTGTGGTTGACTAACATTTACGACGGACGGGTTATGGGGAAAACATCAAACAGAACATGAGGTGGACGGAAAATCAGGGATTAAGCCTATCTGATGCGCTCCAAGAAGGGTGAAACTAGTCAGCTGTCAGTTTCCAGGACCCTTATAAGTAATATAGCGTCGTCAACAGGATAACCAAGTCAAGGCTGGTTTGGGGGCTTGCTTTTCCGATTCAGGGTACTTTGGCTAAACATTGCGCTTCAATATCATCCGCGAATTTAGTTGTTTTGTATGGGTCAGTAACTGGGTTAGGGAGATTAAGTGTATTTTGGTCAACTTTAGTCCCAGACCCTTTCAATGATGACTGCACGGTGACACGTGACAACTAGGCTATTCCAAATACGTTGTCGATGCATCTACGATTTCTAAGCTCTATTTTATTCAGGCTGCGATTATCGGCGATTTTACCGTCTCGAACCTCCAGTCACTATGATGTGAATCTTGAGACCAGCCACAGAAATCTCACATGTTCGAAGTCGATTGTATTCAGTGCAAGCCCTGTCACTGCCGAGTCACCACCCGCCTGATATTTGCGTTTCTAAGTGGTTTGCTTATGCACCGCTTGTGTTCACTAATTCTGGTATGCAGCAACCTGGTTGTCCCATGGGTGGGCCTTTGTGTAGCTGTTGCACTTGAGTTTGCACACGCAGTCCCTAGCCGTCAGGCGATTTTTAACAGCCCAGATAATGACTGCGAAGCATTTCCTTCATGGATTGCTACCAGTATTCAACGCCGTTCCATTACATTCAGATATCCGTCCCGATGGAATAACTACTGTCCCGAACCACTCCCTTTTGGATATTGGTACCAGGGCCAATACTCGCCCCTGTTGCCATTTGGATAAATTTATTGCGTATCCACTTTCCTGAGGTCCCCTTTTCAGCTCAATATGTGCGACCGTTCGGTGGAACAATTCTAGTTGAAACGTTAACGGTGTTAACATAGTATTGATTGTTACAAAGTTTTGTGAGCATACTGGTCATCATCATCATCGACAGCATGACATCAGTGTTTAACACTGAAAACAAAGTAAAAGTAGTGGCGCCAAAATACCGACTAAACATTCTCGTGAGCCGTTGGGGCGACGGTGAGAAATGGATAAATAGCACTACAGAAGTCGATCGACGATTTCTTCGCACCGGACGCTTCTGTGAACGGTCGCTGCTTTAAGGTACACCAAATAAGTGGTGACAAGACCAGTCCACTAGGCGGTATAGAACCTATTTACTGGTGGCGATCGCAAAACGCTACTTGTCAAATATCGAGCCCCTTTGTTGGCGCACGGCTTATAAGGAGTAAATCAAACCGCATACCCTATTTAGTGCGTAGGCCGTTTACCCTTCTGAGGTACTGCTCTCGGAAGGCATCTCATGCCTTGTAAGAAAATCTGGCATCCTTAGAACCTTTGGTTCTTCCAAGGTTTGTCCTAGATTACCTGTGTTCTTTAAGAGGATAGCACACTCACTTCAAAAGCACGTTATTCATCAAAAACTAGGCAGGCATTCCACGCTAAGCTGCTTCCATTCTCAAACCCTCCCCTCCAACACAATAGCATGTGAGCAGAATTGTGGCAGTTGGAACCATTTCTCTTTATAAGTAGCGGGGAGGTTGAAATTGTACAAAATTTGGAGTTATGGTTTGGAGAAAAACCTACCCCGCAGTATATGATATGAACACATCTTTGCTCCTTTACCTAAGAGTACAATTTAGTGGTACATTTGCTAATGAGCCGTTAAGTTCTGTTCAACACATCGCCCAGAAAATGTTCCTCAGAAACGTCGCAAACGATCCACGAAGCGAGACCACAAACACCAAGAGAATGCAGATGAACCGTGGCGAAGCTGGTGGTGTTGACTATATCGTTTCGGGGGTTGCGGTGCATAGTGACTGAGAAGGTGCTTTGTTGGTCAACAGATCAGATAGTCTAGATAGCAGTTCACTTCGCCTTACTTCAATTTAGATTGGCCGTACTCTGAGCTAAGTAATAATATTAAGGCAAGGTGGGCGGAACAGCAGCAAAAAGGCAGAATAAGCACGCGTAGATATGAGCCACATTCAACGCCTTTTATTTCAAATACAACTTCAATCTTTGCGCAAACGGCAAACCACTCGAATGCGAAAAGTCTTGGTTAAGGAGATGAGCGAATCGAGAGAATAGGATGATTGTACTGCAAAAAAACAAGTGGAATGCCAAATCCGACGGGCACAGAGAAAAACGAAGCGTATTATTTTACCTTGTCACCCTCCAACTGTGTATAGAAAAAATAATCGGACAGTGAAGGTGGAGAATACGAATTGAGAAAGTCATCTGTAGTTTGAGGCGAAAATCGTACTTCATAGTGCAACACGTCAACATTGCAAAAATTGGATGAGTGATTATGGGCAGCACAGTCCCTCCTCCAAACACACTACAAATTTAGAAGCGGGGCTAATTATTTATTAGTGAATTCAATTCACATTAAAAAAAGGTACTAAAAACCAACTAATTCCCACCTGGGGCTCACCGCATTGCTAGAGTCTGATCCGGGCCCCAGACAGACGAGACTAGGTGGTACGGAAGCGGAATCGCGATATTAGATCGACAGACCGATGTGTTCACACAAGGTCTGGGGTTAAAATGAAAGTTTCTGCCTGTCTTAGCTCAGCAGCCAGAGTTCAGCCACGCTGCACGTTCTTCAGATCGTTATCGATAAAACCTGTACGGCACGGACTAATAGGTTATCACCTTTGAATGGAAACACAATGCAGATAAGCATCCTGGCCACTATATCAGGCTGACGGTTTTTAGGTATAACTCACTATGTCCCTTAGAGTAGACAGTCTTGACCAGCATTACGAGGTGCCGTTCTCACGGTCACACTTTGAATCCGGGGCTGGAGCTCGTTTAGTTTCATTTTCACCCTTGGCCCATATTGTGTGTAATCCACTGTTTACACCTATGACAGCACCGTTTCCTACGCTACTGGTTACTTGATATTGGGGGTCCAGAACGAAATACTCGTACCTAACGACGTCCGTTTTATAGACGCACATTCAAAACGGTTGGAAGGATTAAATTACTTTAAAAGAAGGGTTACATACTTAAAATGAAGCTGATTCATCATTATTTGCCCAGATATAGTCACTAATCTCTGGAAGAGACCCCTACGGGAGTAAAGAAAACTGCACTCTGTGTTGCAAATTCTGGTGAACTAGGATTCATTCAGTTTATCAACATATCCATAGTTTTATTATGTCATTCGTGGACCTGTTTGAAATGTCTCGTCTGCTGACCAGATTTTCCGAAACGAAATGAATATGAACATGATATGTATTGAACAGTATTGACTTTAATTTTCTACTGGTCTTATACTCCTCGGATTCCTCTTGGCTATTTTCTGAGTCATCAACGATCACCTGCGACCCGAACCAGTTGACTTTTTTCCAACTTATGATTGCCCAGCAAACTTACTCGTAAATGTTGAGATGCTCAGTACTCAGTGTTATCATCCCACCGTGCAATTCGCACTATAAGCGTGGGGATCACAGGCAAACACCAAAAACACTGTTTGGCATTCGATTGTGTGTCAGTTGAGTAGGTCTTCCTGTCAGTTATTCGCAATTCAGATAGGCCAACAAAAGTGAATCACCAAACGGTCAGAGAACAACAAAACCGAATCACTCAATACACTCGACGGCCCACAGCTTATTCCTGTCTGAGTGGCTGGCAATCAAGGGAAAGTAGCTCAGAGTAGACCACCTAGATCGAGATACCCAACGACAAGCCACCACGGAAAACGAATTATATTAACCCATCCTAGAGACAAACTCCAACTTCATTGTACAGAATAGAACTCTGTTGGCTGTCTTCTGCCAAATCTTCCGCTTTTCTTTAACCAAGTCTAATACCTAATACCATTCAATAATTATAGCGCAGATTTACTAATCGGAAGATCCATGGTTCGAACCCAACCTCTGCATTCCGACTGGTCCCGTATAGACTTGGAAAAACTAGCACTACCTCAGCCCTCGTGCTTCATTCGGGAACACGTCAGATGGATACCAAGAGGGTGTTACAGCTGAGTGTTTCAAAGTTAATTAAATTCAATACATCCCTCAGACTGGCCGATGCTTTAGGACCAACGTCTTGATAGGTTGATCAGGTTATTTTTGGTTTTCAGATATTTACAACCCGTTTTACAAAGCCCCATTTACATCGAATTTACTTGAGCTCAATTTACATGTAGTCATCCGAATCGGACACCGATCGGGCGCTGGGATCTAATGTCAGTCTGCATAATTATCCAAAAATTCACCTAAAATATTCACTGATCCAGTGTCTGTTTTTGCTACCTGACAGCGCAATTCCAAGATCACACTCCCAATACTGCGTTTCGCAACGCAACCGTTAATCACCTATCCAGGAATAGCATCTTACGTGAAATTCGGTCACATGATCGCCTAGTATAAAATCTCCATTCCGTCACCATGATCATCTGACAAGCAATTCACCATGATCCGCAACTGCCACATGACGATAAACGACCATCACGTAATGACAAAAAAGCAGTGGTGCGTTGAAAAACAAGTTAAACGATGTTCGTCACATTGTTACGTGGAGGTCAACATTTATCGACCAGTCTGATTTGGCAGCTATGGTAGATTCGGATCATTTTGGAGGCCATGACGCGCTGGTTCATGATCCATAGTACAAATCAATCAAAACTGAAACGTGTTCTTTTCCTAATCGTTTGACAGACAATTAGGATAACGATCTTTCTTCGAGGCCGGAGGTGGTACCACGCCTCGGTGGACTTCCGGTCTCTTCAAAGATGGGGAAATATGGTGAAGAATGGTCGCTTTAGGGTAAGGACGCTTGGATAAGAAGGCTCTCTCAGGGGTCTCTTGTATAGAGGACTCGAAAGCGATCCTAAAATATGTTGGACGCACACCACACATTCAGTAGTGAAGGAAGAACGGAAATTCGTTAGAATATTCCGAACTGTAAAAGCAATCAATCTCTGTCCTGTGCTCGTTGGAACGAACTGACCCTTGAAGAGGTTGCCAGTTTAGACCGTTCTCATGAATGTGTCACTTGTTCAAAAGAGGATACACAGTACGTGGTAAGCTGCCCTGGTGAAGTGCTTGGGTAACGACCCCAGAACCTCTCGCATATGAAGCGTTAGTACATCCTGTTAAAGATAAAGGTGGCCTCAGTTTGCACACACACACACACCAAGCGAAAGTAAAACTCATCCAACAATGCACTGACGATGCCTGTTCGAATGGCAAAGAACCATTCGTAGATCAGCTGCTAAGCTGCTAAACAAGCCAACAACTGACATAGTAACTCCGGTTTATGAAGGACACCCTCAGAAAAAGTGTTTGATTCCTTTTGTGAGGGATGTCAACTAGTTGGGGGAACCGCACAGCATAGTAATCCTACGAACAGAGGACACGACGGCAAAAAGGGTTTCCGATCTCTCTTTAGGGAGGGAAGTGGGAGGTAAAGTCATTGCGACCTGTCCTCTTGATGGGATCATTGCCGTTCACAGATGAAGGAAAACACTGTCTAAAGAGGTATGATCACTAGGGAAAAGCTCACCAGCAGTCAACCTAAATAAAAGTCACAGAAAGCGCCCAGAAATTATGCCGAATACGGTGTGGATGCTCTAAAAGGGGAAATACAACCTTCTTGGGGCTCATCAGGTAGGCGCAGTCCCCGAGTTTCCGTCAACCATATGATCTACTTGAACCCAAATTGCACTGTTTTCGAGAAATACACTCATCTGCAAATCAATTTGGTTTTCACGGGAGACTCAATTGAATCTCTCGTTTATGATGTTCTCCAGCTGAATGTGCTGCACACAGGCCGCCTCATGATTTAAAAAAGTTTCTTCATTACTCTTGAGGCGAGGCTAACTATAGCCATTTCCGGGTGGTAGGCAACGAAATCGATCAGTTCTTACTATGGAGACCTTACTTTCTCCAAATCATATGTAGACTGGAAAACTCTAGGGGAACCATGGATATGCAGGGTGTACATTTCCTTCAAAACTATGAAAATCAGGGGCTGCGAAAGCTGCTTGCGCCGGTATCAATAGTTACAATTCAATATAGGCATATCCGTCAACCAATCCCAATATGCAGTTGAGTCCAGAGTGAAGGACATTAAGGAATAAATACAAATAGCAAAATGGGCGGCGGAAGAACATACCTGGTCATGCAAAACAGAATGACGATGAGAGAACGTTCCACGCTCTACATCCTCCCCGGACAGTCGAACATGGCATCCCTCTTTCAGGAGCGATCCATAGGCAAAAAGTTCTCCCAAAGCCCAGTTAGCCATGTGCTGTTCGCTAAGTTCATGTCGCTCTCGTAATGTTCGCTTCAAACCTGGGTGGATGGTCATCCCCTCAGGAGGCTCACTGATTGCACGCGCTAAAGAGATGCGGCCGAAAAGTGGAAAATAAAGGAACCGAAAAACGGACCAGAAAATACGTACACATAGTGAAACGGTTGATGTTTGAAACAAATTAGCCTCGTCCATGGGAATTCAGAATGCGAATGTTTTACTCAACGGCTCGACATCGTTTTCAGCAGACAGCTTTTCTGTTGAAAACAGGATTCGCCGAATTGCGGCAGTAGTGGATGCCCACCGTTTTGGGACTACCCTTAAGTGAGCGCTGTTTTGATTGAAACCTACTGTCTGCGGAGGCAATTATTGCGCACACCCGACACAGAGAACAACATGCTAAACTTATAGAAAGAATTCCCTGTAAATGACACAACAGTGAAATACCGCGTGCTTGGCGAATCAAAGACAGTCAACGTGGGGAAATTAGGACTGGATTTGAACGTCCTTATCCCTAACCTGTTTCGGGACCCACAGTACTTATCCCGCACTGATCAATTTCAGCACTGGTTGGAAAGAAACCAAATACCAGATTTTGGAAGGTCAGTGAGCGTCAGTACAAGTACTTGGATGGCCTTCGACATTTGCCACGTCCCTAAATGGGGACTCTGGGACTCGACTCACCAATGGTTAATGAAACCAGCAGAAATGGCCCAGTTGCGCAAGCAGTAGCGCTCACGCATCAAAGCTATCACCTTCAAGGCGTAGCTACCCGGTTCCTCAACTAGCTGAACATACCATCGCCTCCAATGCTTGGCTACGTCCTACATTCCCCCAATTTCCGGTGATCGAAGCTGTAGCAGCTGGAACTAACGGCAAACGATTTATAGCTGATAAGTTGGATTGATTGAATTAGATAGCCTTCCAGAATCAAAGATACATGCAGTCGCTAGACAACTTCTTAAGAGGAAAATAGTAAAATTAGGAACTCACAACAAACCACTACGGTATTTCTTATACCTAAATGACTAACCCTGGGTGGAAGACCTGGGTAAAATAGTGACAAATTCAAGTATATTTGTCGACAGGGTGTGTAGACATTCACATATTTCACTATCCTTCATTAGATTATTTATCTATTGTTGTTTACTGGAATTGAAACATTGGACTGAGCGAACTAAACCTGTACATGGACTTTAGTGTTATGTGTGCGCTAAATTTAACGACACCATTACACATCAGGATGCCGGTACTCCTACTTGAGCACCTCACTGTTAGTCAGGAACGAAAAAGCACATTGCGTCAGAATTGATCGGCCGGCACCATGACCCGATAACCCGCAGTTCCAAGTAAAAATGCGATTACTGGGGTGCAATAATAAAATTCTGCGCGGGCGTATTTTCAGTCGGGGCAACGCCTGATTCGGTGTGCAACAGTAAAGCTCTGGTGTTATGGTTAGCGGAGTTGTTCATGGTGATCAGGTTTATGGAATGTAATAGGTCAGAATGAAATTATTACAGGACATTAGAGAGGCACGGAGAGTGCACTCCAATTCGTGTGTGATGTGAGCAAGAGACCGCCAAGATGAGGCATCGTCTCCTACAAGACTAAACAACGAAAACAAGGTAAGAAGGAACATTACTCGTAAGGTTACTGAAGGGCTTTCATTCATATCTAGAATTTCGTACCAGCTGAAGCATGAGGCAGCCCTTGTGAAGCACATTCACTTGAAGAATATCACAAACGAGTTATAAGCTGAGATGTAGTTAAGTCTCCAGTTGGAATCGATTCGATGTCCAACTAAGTCGCGAATTACGGTAGGAACGATGCACAACATGCTACCGCACACCCTGATTATGGCTGTACATCAAACATGACTTCTGAATGCAATGGAAACTGACTAGTAAACCCATGAGACTCAGCAACTTTGAGTGTCCAGCTAACTAACCACATACAACAGTATCAGTCTACTTGCCAACCCGTCCTCTTAAAACATAGTCTAACTGAAGGAAAGTTTAGGTTAGCATAAGAGAAAAATGAACGCCGTAGCCAACAGACAAATATTCATAGAAAAAGAGCAGTGTACAAAAACACCGTTTTCTTTAACATTCTGACAATACACGGAACCATCTTGTGCAAAACATTGGTTGCTGAATTCCCAGGTGTGCCGTGGAATCTGTTTTCTGTCGAAGATTGCCAGCGTCGGAATAATAAAAAAATGCATACTTTCTTCATGGAGCTAGTAAGATGACTTTTCGTTGTCCGAAAATGTGAGATTTGGTGGCAGATTTCACCGGTGCTATACCCTTTCCTAAGCACTCAAAGTGTTGGCGATTTCTTGAGGAAAATGACGACTAGGGTGAGTGAGAAAGGAATAATTTGTCGGAATACAATCGTCCTCAGGTTACTATGCTAACGGTAGACTCAACTGAATATCTTGCTTATGATAGTCTCCGACTTTGGCATAAACCACTACTGCTGAAAACTTTTTGACAGCCTACGACCGGTTCCACGCTTCATGGGGAAACACATTCAGTTTACGGATGTCATAAACAAGGGATTCATACGAGTGTCCCGTTAACACCAAGTTATTTTGCAAATAGGTGTATTTGGCCAAGTTACCCGGCTACTTATATTTGCTCTTCAAATGGCTATCTTTCGGAAAGGACCGCCTTTATTCAGCCCTTTCGGATGGATATTTCGTAGGGGACGAGTGAGTATCCTATACGATGCACATTATTTACTACCAAATACAGGTACTAGTCCCAGTAGTTAAGCGGTAGCACCCTTTCGGGGCCTAACTGCCAGGTTGCCTAAGCCTAGACAGGGGAAGTCGAGAGGAAGAGGTCGGGTTCGAACCACGGAGGGTTAGCAGATTCGCACTCTAACCATTGAGCCATGTCATCCCACTAGTCCCAGTGTTCTACCTCGAGAGATCATACCGGGTGCAACCATGTGGTCCCTAGTAACGGCATGAAAGGACGAATGGTAAACAGTCGGCTGAACATCGTGTGGTAATGGAACGGCAAATGACAAACCTCACTACCTTGGCTAACCTTCCCTAACAGTTTCGAATGGCCTCATGATAGTGTACAACCCAACAGTGATGTTAGAATCAATGCCGAAGCAGGTAAAGATCATCGGTTGGAATGCGGTGACCTCAGGACGATGAACACACTGCCAAGGCATGGCGCGTCGGTACTGCCCACAGTTAAATAAAAAAAAGGTTTGGAGTTTTCCCTGAATATTCAAACCACTTAGCAATAAAGGTACCGAAAATACTCCAGTGATCCGTTAACATGGACCTATTGTCCATGTTTAACAATACACCACAAAGTGGAAGTAACAACGGCGCGATGATGTACTCCTTGTCATACAGACAAGTGGAAGGGAAAACGTGTAAAGAATACTTACCAATATGTTCCAACACTGAGACCTCGACGCCAGTGTCAGGTAAAAACATCGGGTCCCTCTTTTCAAAAAACCCGTGCCATGGTGAGTCCAGCCAAGAGCGATTATAGGTGACAGTTTGTTTTTTCGCTAGCTCATAAGCATCCTCGCATATCTTGTCGTACTTTTCGATTTCAGCCTGAAAGAGAGAGATGAAATAACACCAAACTGCCAGACAGGAGAATGTCAAATGCGCACGAGAAAACATGATAACGAATACGAAAAGACTAGGCTACTCCAATGCGCTACAAATGCAATCTAAGAATAAAGTATCAAGTCCTGAGGAATTTCGACGACGGAGATTGCTGGGCTTGAAGAAATTATCAACTGTGGATGAGAATAACAATCACATGACTTGAACCGATCAGCCAGGCAAGGGTAGACGGGCTGAGCTAGTTAATTTCGAGAACGTTTGCAATCTATCAAACTAGATTTGTGTAAGGCTCCAGGAAATCGAAGAAAACCGCTTAGCCGTAACAGCCCTTCGGTGCCTGGCTACCATATCACCCGAAAGAAGCGCGAGGGCTGAGATGTTCAGTAGCAGGGCTCCCTCTATTAGGAATAAGCCAGCTTTGTCATCCCAAGTCTAAGAGTGTGTCCAAGCATTCGTATTAGATGTGCATGGGTGGCCAAGGCTCACAACCTTCACATTAAATTTTTCGCCTTCTCTAAAACTTTTTGACCGAAGATCACCAAACGTAAATTCTGAACAGTCCCAGTGCACAGTCTTTCATTGCAGTTATTCAGCAGTGGCTGAAATAACTTTTCAGGAATATCGAAAAAAACACTGGTAAATGTCATCTGGTTCGACGTATGAACATTTCTTTGCGCCAACCACTTTCCCCGAACATTCGGGCCTACTTACTTTTTTGTCTTGTGTCACTTTTGCATTGGTCCAGGCATCATGCCTGACAAAAACTAAAAATAATTGCATAGGTGGCTATTTTATTGCTATGATCTGATTCGTTGAGGCGCAGCTTTTCGGAAAGAAGGAAACAGCCCATGAAATGAATGTTGTCGTTGAATCATAATCGTTCTTCGTAGCTCAACCTCTCTCGAATAAGGACAGCTCGGCAATCCGTACTCTTTCTACATGGCGAAAATGTCTCAATACACATTATAAACGGTTAAGACCCAAGAAGTTGGTTACTCTGTTACCAACTTTGGGACAGTGTCTATATTCAACGTCCCAGAGTGCGTGCATAAGTGAACGATTGTTGTCGGTAGTATTCCAAGTGTTAAGCGGTTCCGAGGAGGACACTAAGAAATCGGGCAGCAAACGAATTCGTTTACAGCGCGAAAAAGGACATGAATGGAAAAGGCTTCGACAAACACTGAGCAGAGTCCAGGTTCGTATAGTCGGATGGTAACAGACTCAGCTCCCGACATTTGACTAGTTTAGAGTAGCGACCTGAGATGTATTGAATGGGTCGGTAGGTTTGATTGACATTCACCTGGGGTCAGCGGATGGCAATCGTTAACCGTTTTACTGAGCCACTGTTAAGATAAATCGGACAGTGTTCGCGAAACACATTAGGATAGAAGCCTAGTCATTTTGCCGACGTAAGACGCATCGCAGGAACAAGTGAAATGGTGTGCACGAAAGGAAGCAATGTATACCAAGAGTATGTCCTCTAGTTGTTGAATGAAAAGTTTTCAAACATTTGGATATGCTACAAGAATGGGTTGCTGTAATTGGTTCCAAACACGGCTTCAACAGAGGCAGCAAGAATTTGATAACACCTGCTGGTGTTTAACTGCCAAACAACCACGAGAGCATGCTAAAAAGGAAAGACAAGCTTCAAGATCTCATGCAAAAAAATGACGAGGCAAGGTGTCCATAATTCGTGGAAATATCTGAGCACCCGGTTGCTGCGTGACCGCCTTCTCTTGCGCAGCATAGTTTTGGATCTTACAAGACGCAAACCTTGCAGACACACAAGGATGAGTTTACTAGAACCAGGAGGTCTGGCTTACTTGGTATAACATTTCTAGCTATCAGATCCAGATCGAGAATCTGTCATGGATGGCGAATGTCAGTAGATGATAGAAATAAAGTAAAATAAAAACTGCAGGTGTCATTTGGGGATGGTCCGAGAACATAAATACAAAAACGATTCTACCTTGTACTCATCTTCTGTCACAACGCCTTCTGCGTTCAACTTTTTACTGTATTGGTCCAGAACCGTGGGTTGTTGCTTGATACGCTTGTACATAAGTGGCTGGGTAAACATGGGCTCATCCATTTCGTTGTGTCCGGCTCGGCGATAGCAGACCAAATCGATTACAACGTCTTTGCTGAATTCCGAACGCCACTCAGCTGCCACTTTGCTCACGCTGGTTACCGCCTCCGGATCATCTGCATTGACGTGCAGTATCAGCGAATTAGTGACCCGAGCAACATCAGTGCAGTAGGGTGAAGAACGGGCCATTCGGGGATCTGTGGTGAAGCCGATCTGGAATGCAAGGTGGAAAGAGGATGAATGACGCATGGCGAACGGTCGAATGCGCAACACCGATTCGACAGCAACTAACGCTGGATCACTACTGTACAGAATCGGTAATAGATCACCACTTCTGAGCAGCGCTCATCAGACATTCCAAAAACCAGCCGGTTGTCTTTCAAGAGACAGTTGCCTTTAAGTAAAGTAGAGCATCAAGGTTGCAGTCTAAGACACAGGTCCTCCACTTAACCTAAGAATATCAGTGGGACATCATCGGTAAACGAATTTGACCGAATTCCTGGTTTTCCGGATAATTCCTTCACCGTAAAAACAAGAAAGGTTCAAAAACAAAACAGCCGTGATGCAGAAACAGATATGACAAAACCATTACCTGATTGTTCACAACAATGTGGATCGTACCATGGGTCGAGTACGAAGGCAGGTCACTCAAATGGAACGTCTCAAAGACGACGCCTTGACCACAAAAAGAAGCATCACCGTGTAGGAGGATTGACATAACCTTTCTGCCTTCAGTGTCGCCACTACAAAGACAGACAAAGAACAAGTGAACCAGTAGTGGGCAATCGTAAAGGTCTCTACAACATGCACAGCAGAATGTAGGAATTCGACGAAGACCGTCACTTGGAAAAAAGTTTGGAAGAAAAGCAGAATCAATTCGAAGTTTCCCCAAGTGTTTATTGGGGATCGGATGGCCAACTAACCCATTTCACACTGGTACATGTCAAGAGGTGAACACGGGACAGTCTACCTGTTTGCATGGTCACATCCAAGCATGGCGCTCTGATGGGTAAATTAAACCAGATGAGATCAGTCGAGGATCTGAGCAGCCCGTGATCACCAATAGCGAGCACGTGGGGGCGGATACAAAAATATCAATTTTTGGGTCCAAGATGACGGTTTCATTCAAAAGCTCCCTGGTTTTTCCCAGCTTACATACATAAAGGTCAAAAAGGTACCATCGAACAAAAAGTCCACCGCAACCCGTACATGATACCCAGTGAAAACCAGAAAACGGCTACAGTGTATCTGATTTCTTGCACGAGGTCGGCGTAGTCAAGTGGGAGATGCGAGGTTGACACAGAAGTAATGGTTAGAATTACACTAAAGACTTATTGTGTGATTCGCGTTTCTAGTGCGCTAAGTGCAGTTGATTCATGGCACCGATGAAATCATTCCCAGGTGTGGGATAGACTGCAACGAATATGGGGACCGAAACGCCTTAGTGGATCATCACTATTACTGGTGTGAGTGATTAATTTAACTGAACGGCGCAAAGATTTGATGTGTTCTACCTCCACATGTAAACCCTACTTTCGGAACCGATTTAGAACGATTACTGGACGTTTTGTTGACAACGAGGAAGTAATTGATGTACCTAGAACGAAAGGTGACCAGAATTGTAGCAGCTGGAACAAACGTACAATTGGTACGCAGTTTGTAGGTGATAAAATGAGCTGAATTGAGCTAAACCAAAGCTAAACAGATTGGCAAGGGTGGGTGCGAAGTGTTTGCGACAGCAAATAGTCTCAAAGATTCGGGCGTATCGCCGCAAAAGGTGTACAGAGCTCCAAAAAATGGAAAACTTACACGAGGAATGATCAGAAAATCTTCATCCGACACAAGCCAGGAGTTAGGAATCAACAAATGAGTAAAGGTCGATAAACAATAAAATGGTGTACATTGTTAACGAATTTTACGTTAAATTTGATTTCGCCATATTTCACTGAGGACAGAAGTGAGTAGGGGTGCGGTGGTTATATCTCATGCGTTACCTTCATTTTTTTGTCTCGTAATTGGTTGTTGCCTTGCTGGATTGGATCCCAATGAACAGTCGTCTTTGTGCCGTCAGGTTATCCAGCTCAATCAACCTCAACGCCTCTCGGCATAAAAAGGGGTGCTTTTTGTAGTGTCGGCTTTTGACCCAACGGAGTGCAGTTTTGACCCTGAGAAGGATATTTTCTATCTAGAGCTATCCGAGCTCATTCGTCAAGCAAGAAGCACTGACATTGGGATACTTGCGGGCGATATAAATGTCCAAGTGGGTCGTCTGAGGTCTTTGGAATCACAATTGGCCGGTCAATTCAGTGTATTCTCTCTCACAGACAACGGAGAGTGAAGACTCCAATTGTGTGCTGATCATCAATTGTTTCCGGTCAGTACGAACTTTCAGCATAAACGTTCGCATCGCGTAACCTGTCGGCCACTAACCGCAAATCAACCATGTACTCGGTTGGATCATGTGGCCATCCGTCACCGGTGGAGAGCTACAATCCAAGACTGCCGTTCCTTCTGGAGCACACAACTTGATTATGATCAGGCCATGGTGCGTGCACGCCTGAGAGTTTGCTTCCCCTCAGGCCCTCGTAACTCAACAAGAAGCATGCCAATAACCGCAAATCAACCATGTACTCGGTTGGATCATGTGGCCATCCGTCACCGGTGGAGAGCTACAATCCAAGACTGCCGTTCCTTCTGGAGCACACAACTTGATTATGATCAGGCCATGGTGCGTGCACGCCTGAGAGTTTGCTTCCCCTCAGGCCCTCGTAACTCAACAAGAAGCATGCCAATCCACCATCTTCGAAAAACCACCATAGCTCAACAGTATCGATCTTTCGGCAGTGAAGCATCGGTGTTGAACACTGATGCCATGCTGCCGACAATGATGATGGTATCAATCTGAGCTAGCCCACTATCCGACTTCCCCGATTCGACCACAGGGCCACCGGATGTCGTCGAGGTCGCTATCAGTGACTGATGAAAGAAAATATATACCAGCAGGTGACAAGTATGACGGCGCACGCAAATCCCTCAAACACCAAATAGTGAAGAGCCTAAGGAAAGACCGAGAGCTGTGGTGGAACTCGAAAGCTCGGGAGATGGAGAAGGTTTTACATACTGGAAACAGCAGTGTGATATACCAACTGATAAGATCGGCTGGCACTAGGATAGCAGCGGTCAGTGAAACGATGAGTGAAAAAGGTGGCTCATTAATTTACTCGCGAAAACGTCAACTAGAAAGATGGGCTAAACACTTCGAAGAACAGACCTCTAACCATTGACCAACTTGGTATGAGACGGTGAGTGTCAAGGGGATATGATCTGGCATGCGCTTCACACCTGCAGTGTTAAGTACAATAACAAGACTGGGTAGGCTCGAACCCTAGCCTCATACTTGCGGATGAGCTGATTGAGGTAGTACACAAGTCTGTTCACCTGAGCATCTGTATCAGTCCCCGTGGTCCCACGTAAGAGATTTGCATCTAGATTGGGGAAGGCCAGAGCAGCTCTTGTGAACCTGCGCCACTTATAGTGTAGGCGTGACATCAGCTTATCGGTCAAGGGTCGAGTTTACAATGCTGCGGTGCGTTCCATATTACTGTACGGATCAGAAACCTGGCTTCTGCGCGCCGAGGACGTCAAAAGACCTCCAGTGTTCGACCATCGTTGTCTTCGGCGCATTGCCCGAGTCTGGTGGGAACAACGGACCAGTAATGCTGAAATACGTCAAGTTGCATGCGGAAGAAATAACTCACCCATGATAGCCGAACTGATCACACTGCATTGGTTGTGCTGGCTTGGCCACGTGCTCCATATGCCAACCGACCGACTTCCTTGAAGGGTTCTTTTTGCAGAACCACATGATGGGTGGGAACGAGCCAGGGGAGGTCAAACAATGGCTCGACAGCGAAGTGTTGAAACCATTACCAAGCAAACTCAGCTGCGCCGGTCATTATCGTTTCCCTGGATATGGACCCCAAGATAGACCACATAAATGGCTGGATACATTGTCAGACATGGCCCAGTAGCGTCCTCAATGGCACTCGTGCGTCCAAGCTATTGCCTTCAATGCATAGCTCCCTTGACAACCCCCCACCCGGACTTAAAAGTCCACTGACAGACCTGTATTTACGAATTTATCAGCTTCCGTCTTTAATGTGCAGCTATCTCCTCCACCTCCTCAAATCATCGGTGGACGAAACTGTGGCAGGTGCAACCACTGTAAGATGAGTGTGCGGTTCTTACAGCTGATAATGATGATGATGAAACCGGATCACACCAACTCATACATAAATGCAGTTAAGTTTCATCAAAGTTGTCCTGGCAGCGTTAACGGTGTGGCCATATTTTTATCCCAAGTNCAATCGAATACTAACGCAAGTAGCGTATTTTAGCTCCATGAGAAGTGCTAAGATACAACATCCTCTACGGCGTCCATACGCGGAAGCCACCGTTTACAACCGACTTCATCGATTAGAATGTCCCAACCACTTCGAGTAAACCGAATATCGGGAGCTTATATTATACAGATGAATGTTAATGAGTTTGTTGGACTTGGCAGTGAGTTAGACAGACCCGTCAATGATCACCACAATTTAAAACGCCCGTTAAGCTATAGGTGAATAACAAGAAGAGTAGTACGAACAAAAAGGCACGGTGCGTACAACACCCAAACATACTAACCGATAGAACTGTTCCGCCTTTGTTTTGCCTTGCACGACAGGATCCACAGCCTCTAAGTGACTCGGGTTGGCACAAACAGCCAAATTAATGGTCTTTTGAGTCATATGGTTAATGCGGGAGTGGCTCATTCCAAGATGGTATTTCACATCTCCGCTACCTTCATCAGCTGCCTCGAGGCGTGAATCAAACTGACAGAAAATATCCTCCAGTGGTTTGCGGCACACGTTAGCCAACACGTTCAATCGGCCTCTGAAATAAGAAGATGATTACGTCACGCGCCTTCCGAAACGACAAGATTGAATGACAAATGGACGCACAATATCAAGTGTAGGATAAGATTTCGGTAGTTACAAAGAAATAGCGGCACTGCAATTAAGGGCTGTTAAGGCTAGAACTTCGGTGTTTCCTGTATCTAGCGATCGCTGATCAAAGGAGTAACTGAAAATCCATATAGTCGTCAACATAGACAGGTTTAATGTCAAAAGTATATGCTTCACAACTGCATTGGTTTGATCTGACCGAATTCGGCGGTGAAAGAGGAAATACAGGACACGGTGATCGAGGCTGCAGCTACCGCCTTATCCTAAAGCATATATAATCAAGTATTCGGTTTGCAATATCGTTTAAAGCAGTTTCCGTCTCGCCTGTTATGGTTGACAATTTCCGAGGACCATACCATTTCACGCGAAATGCCATGGTAGGCCGAGTTAATCAACAGCTGACAGAACGCTTGTACAGTTCACTGAGAAATCACTCGCTAAGTTTGTTAATCTTACGGGCAAAAATTACGGTCTGAATCAGCGTCCTGAAGATCAAGCCTATATAGTTACTGCGCCGAGGAGAATCCAGAGGCGCGAGACGTTTATAGCTACCGATAGACCTAGAATCCAATGCCGATTTTGTCACAAACTGAGCTACAGCTGCTAGAACGATACCCGAATTCTGTGTGGTCGCCGCAAATCCAAAGAGAAACGAACGTACTTTCCCTTGATACGCTCTATTCGATGGAATTACTGACCACTGCGAAGGGTCGAAAATACCGCTAAGCCGTTAGGAGTGAGGTAGGCGGGAGGCCGTTAGTTGACAAGTCGTACAGGGTTGTCACGTCCAGACTGCAGAATAACAAGGAAGATTTGACGAGTTTTCCCTTTCTGACTAGTACGTTTCAAAACGTCAAAAACTCCCAGACATAGGCGGTCTCTAAACGTGGACATGGCACGATGAACGTAAATGGGGTGCACCCCCAGAAGCCTCAGTTGCGCATAAACGATGTGATCTATTGAAAGTTGACTACATTGGGAGGTGGGATACGATTCAGAAGACGCGAGACGGTAGGATGGTCCAAGTGTTATGTACTTACCCTGTAGCGTACACTGAAGCAGGTAAACCTACCGCGTGATGACCAACTTGGCGCATTTTTCAATTCCATGTTGGAACACGCAACACAGATGACATATCCGGGCAAAAACTTCTTGGCTGAACTAATTCTGCACCTGAGATCATCAATCAGACGCAGTAGGCGACTAAACAGACTGAATGAAGGCACACAAAAGCAAAAAACAACAAAAAACGTAACATCCTTAGCTTGACATACCGATGGGGCATTCCGATTATGAAACTGTCCACGCCCAGAGAGGAAGAAGTGTCGATTACAGTCTTCAATGCAGGAATTAACATTTCACAACCTTCAATACCAAATCTCTTTTCAGAACTCCATTTTTTCGCCAAAAACGCTTCGAATCGTGTGGCACGAATAAGGCGTGCGAGAATTAGACGTTTTTCTTCTGGTGTGAATGAAAGATGACCGGGCGTCTCAAATTTTCGCCTAATCCAGTCGCACTTGTTCAAACTGTTGATAAACATGAATTCGACGCCGATGTGTTGGCAATAAACGTCCTACGTACGTAAACAGAGGACCGGTTAGATTAAAATGTTAACAAATGCACATATGTAGGTGAAAGTTTAATAAGGGGCGGCTAATAAACCAGGCAAACTATACAACCTGTGTTACAAGTGAATGGTCATACCTGTTTCAGAACTACCGCGCTACAATAACAGTAGGAAGTGAGCATTACAGGCACAGAAAGGTCCTCAGTAGAAACGTCGGTCCGAAAAAGCGGGTCGTGAAACAAGCCCAAAAACGTTTGTCACCGCATTGTCCTGCCACTTTTACCCAGTACGAACGACAAGGATGGCTGGGCCAATAGTCAACAAGTGAAGCGCATGCTCCTACTTGATGATATTTTTGTGAATGAGCTACTGAAAGAGGCACCAAAATCCAGCTTTTTGGCACAGCTTCCAAGCACACCATACTATCCGCCTTGAAGTACACACACACATCATTCGCTATCAATATGCAAACTAAATGATGTTTCAGGTTCGTACTGGCATCCGAAGATACTGGACTATGTCACTGAAAAGTTTGCAAGATCTCAGTTCAGTCAAACAAAGGTGCAAGCGGTACTCAGTAATCCGGTTACGTTCCGAACTGAGTCCAAGAAGCCTGGGTGACATAATCATAACCTGCTACTTCGAACGTTACCCTTCCGACTATTCTTCCCACGATCACTCCTTCGCCAGGGTCTGGGAAGTCACTGACTTTCTGATCCACGACTGAAAATTTAGTTTGTCAATAGATAAGATAATCAAGGGTGCCCAAAAACCACGTATACAGATTTGCATCCAGGATAATGCAGTCTGCTGAATTTCGCTCCACACCGTCAGGGATCCAGTGTATGTGTTTCCTTATTTCGAACTTCAGCATTGACAAATAAACATTAGTATTGATGAGTCATTTCGCAGATGTCATTCCGTTGGGTCACGACTTTCCTTCCTATGATGTCCAATCGTTCCTCCTCCAGTTTCATTCAAGGCAGTTTAGTGGTTACAATAGCATGCGACACTTACCCCTGAGTCGTAGCACATACAATTTTAAACCGCCGTTTTTTCCGTCCGCCTCTGGGACAGAAGGGGGCATAAGGAAACAACACCTGACACCAATACGAGCCCACCGGCTTGTTGTCAGATTTCAGTACGAACCCGACACTCTGTCGCTGACCTTGACGGCAATAGTATGGTCAGGGAAACACAAACCGAGGGTGATTAGGCGTGTGAACGAAAGGCTTGAACAAAAACGGTAAGCGGAGTTGGTTGATATGCCATGGCGTCACAGAAATTGAGAGGGTTTTCTATTTCAAACTAACTGCTTACACGTATGCAACTTGGAGGGATTACAACCTAATCTGGTAACAATTGCGTGTATGACTCCTCACTGAATTGATCCATACAAACTGTTGATCAGCCATGCTCTACATCAGTGCTGTTGGGCGGGTCATTAGCCCTGTGCTCGATCAATCTTCGAACAATTTTGAAGGATCATTCACTGAAACATTCGGAAATACACCGGGAAAGTCTACTTGTTGTTGTGTCCCAATCCAGCTACCGCTAAGATAGTTGACTTAGTTAAGTTAAACACATAAGAGATTACATTTCTCTAAAAAACCTATTCGCCCTGCCACTTTGTCCAAAGGCTTACAAAGGTATCATGAACATAATGAGAGAATAGGATGAGCAAATTTCCGGTGCTCGTAGTCTTAAATGATAATGCAGTTAGGCGCTCACAACAGCTTGATTTCGGTTGACTGATACGGCACAAGTGTTTTGATAGGACTCGATGATTCTAACTTGAAAGTACTCGTTGTCTGGAGTGACGGTGGTGCAACAGGTTTTGAGCGAAGTAGTCAAGCTTAAAGTGCAGTCCAGCCATGCATAATCTAGCCAATGAATACGCGACAGATTGCTATAAGAATTCATCGGCCGAAAAATGCCCTCAGCAAAAGAAACCGGAAACACGAAAAGTCAAAAAGGATCAACTAGAACATTGTTAGACGTAGGCACGTATGACGAACGAGACATACATCCATACTCGAAGCACTTAGTCATGAAATGCGTACCTTGTTTCAAGCAGATACAATAAACCTAACTGTTGCCAGATTCGAAGCTTCAAATCAAGGTTTCAAACACGCAGTTCACAGCATGTGTCCTGATCCCCGACCTCATAGGAAAGCGCCCATGCGACTTACACACTGCTTTCCTTTTCCGTAATTGCTGTGTTTCTTAGTCAAGGATTCACTGTATATACAGGCAAAATAAATGGGCGTCCGAGGGATAACTACGATATCAGCCGAAATCCTCAGAAACAGTCAAATACTTACCTCCAAACGTTTTATTATTTCACGTAGAGTCAATTCATTTTTGTCGCCACCAATATAGGTGGTGGGTGGAAGAAGAAAGGTTTTATCCAAGTCAGGTTCGCCTAATACAAAAAAGTCGGAAATAAAGTACAGTCACATTGAGTGAGGATAAAACATCTAAAAGCTGATGTCATGTTTGTGTTAGAACTCAGTTGTGAAGATCATTAAAGGACGATGACTTCCAAAAACAGGCAAGCCAAGTAACAAACTAGCCATAAACGGAGTGAGCTAGCATGCAGGGGCCATGGGATCTAGCAAAACCAATCATCACTGAATAGTCAGCCAACTTAGGTAGTAAGCAAACAACGGTTTAGAGGCACAATTCAGAATTGAGTCAAGGGCTCCTGGGGCTGGAAGTGGTCCATAGAACTAGGAGTCATTACCGATTGGCATTAGTGGCAAGATTCTGGATCCGTCGGCCTGTCGCACCGGAGGACAACTAGCTGCCTAGAATTAAAGCAGACAGTGGACTACTTGGTCTGTAGGTGGTCAAACAGTGGAACACAAACAGGATAGTACCGTGCAAAGTAGTGCACTACTTATAAGGTCGCTGAAAACTCTTCCTAGATACTACTGTGTTCAGACTTGCTGCTGACCGTGCTGTATGGGCAGCGGCAGTTCAGAATACTCTTGGGGTTGACTCATCGGCTTCCAAGAAGAAAAAGCCGTAAAGTAGTTATGACCGGTAGATCGCAGCGAAGCACACCCGAATTCGTTAGAATTGCTTGTCAGTCCCCTTTGATCAGACAAATTAAGAATCACACAAAACTGAAGCAAGCTCGTGGTGAAACATGCAGTTAAAAGTGGAGGACGGCTTAACGGTGCCGTGGGGATTTCTTGAGTTCGGAGGACAGAAATACAGTTGTCGACATGGTGGAAAAAAGTCCAAAGGGGGGAAACTAGAGAACGTGTAAGAAGCACAACGTTTCGAACGATTCACTGGGTAAAAGATTGAACAACGAGAAGAAACAAAGCAAACTAGATCACCATAGCGCTGAAACTATGGGAAATAGTGCGAACTGAAACGCGCAACCAACAACAGTTTTCGGGTTGCTAGGCTTACCTCCATCACGAAGATACCTTTTATAGACAATATACCTGGCAGCGCCAGCCGAAGGACAGGTAATACCTAGAGGATCTAAATGGGCAGCAAGATGCCCACGAACCTAATAGGGGAAGAGGTAAGAAAACAAAACGGAACAATACACGGGGTTAGCACGAGTAATGACCACCACAAACCAGTGTGAAGGAGTGTCTGTTGGGTGCAGAGCAAGACAAGTGATGCAGCTGTGTGATGAACAAAAACCAGGCTAGGGTGGTGTGATGAATAAACGTACCCAGGTTGTAAAAACTCAACGACAATTCTGGAGGTATGGTGTCATCCAAGTCGGCCGATAATATTCCCAGTGGATCAAGCCTTGCAGACCTGTGACCTAGGGACTAAATGACAAATCCAGCGTAAAGTATGGTAATTACTATCATGCTGTAGTACAATTTTTCTTCAACAAGCATAGCAGTCATGCGATACTTACTGCTTTGTAGTTCACGTATCTTTTTACCAAGCAATAATACATTTCGAATTGCAGTAAAAACTATGAGTAAAGAGCATCCACTTGGGATGAGAAGAATTGCACGAAACATCAAACATTCTTCTGTAGCTGACCGCCTCAAAGAAATCAATAAAACAGGACTTTTCAGCGCAATCTTATGCACAGCGATAGTAGAAAACGCTTTCTTTAAATTCTTTAAATTCCCAGTTACTCTGGGACGAATTGATTTAGTAGTACGATCCTCGTTCGAGCTCTCCCGCTTGTCCTAACAAGATTGGTCTGGTTAATCCACACTAAAGGAACAGCACCGGAGTAAAGTTCTGCTCTTCGTAGAGCTCATCAATGTTGCATGTCTTTGACATTACCTGGAGTTGGATTCAGGTCAGTTGACCTTGGCGGGAGTGTGTTAGCACTAGTCTGCCAAAACACGCCGACCTCATCTGAATTATCTCGTATAAACAGAGCAAATTAAGCTATTTGTGGGATTTGTTCGACGTCTCTAGTGTAGACCTATTTGCAGTCTTGAATGTACCGATAGATGGCAGGTAGAATACGCAGCGCCATGAACGTTTCTGAAATCACAGACGACAGCATGTCATTTAGGCATGCAACCAAAAGGCGGGAGGGTTGAGATACTGCCGCTAACCATAAAAAAGATATTAGTGCCCTCATAAAGTCCGCATCGCAGCAGTCAGCAGTTTCACCCTGCATGCTACTCTCCATCCATGGGTCCATTTAAAATCGACACCATTCTTTGTGTTGAGCTCAATGCAAAACCGTGAGTGCTTCGTTATGTAACCTAAACAAGCGTTGACGCTCTTTTGTTCCTGTTTCCATTCAGCACAATCAATGACTGTTTAGGTGAACACGGAAACTCAAATAACCTCCCTGGCAGGGCCACGGTCGACTGTTAGTCCGCCACGGAATTTCAGTCCCATTTTTTGTCGGTGGCGTTTTCCCGAGACTGGATAGATAGACCGGATTAGATATAGCTTAGATCACATACCTTAGGTAAATATATCTTATGCTGAGTAAATTAATCTGGATTTGTTCTAACCGAACCTTTTTAAGCTTGCCTGATCGGACCAATACCATTGCGTATCACATGTGCGAAGGATACTGAATATACATCTGATGCAACCAGATACCCAAAACACGAATATCCCGATCAGGAGTTCCCAAGTTTACCACTGGACAACCTCGACCCCATCGCTTATGAGTTGTGGGATTTTTCGAATTTATATTAACTCCTTTAACTGAGTTCCGCAGTTCTGCGTAACATAACTATGTTTGTTTCGGCTCTGGAGATTCATGTATTTCAATGAATATTGAAGTTGGATTCGAAAGAACCTGTTGTGTTACTTAAGCTGTTTCTGTTACTTGACAAAATACAACTTCATCTTGTGCAAATGGTGAAAATGAAATGACATTAGAGCCTGCAGTTATCATTGGGCAACTTGTTAAGTGGCCAGTGTTTTTTACTAGTTTTTAATGGGGTTCGTATATTCCATTGTAAAACAACAGTGAATGGCAACATATCAGATCATTCGACTGCAGCGCAAACTATTTCGGTCTGCTCAGTAAGCCAGCGGTCAGGGCTATGAATCTGTCCAGCTGAATCACTCGAGAGTTATGTGGCCTGTGGTAAAAGGGTTAGAGAAACCAGACTTGAAATACGTTTGATTAGTTCGTGTTCAGTCGGGCCAACATAATCTACGCGTATATATGTCTGTTGGTAGTGGTGACAGGTCACAACCGATCTAACGCGGCAGTTCTTAACTTGTCTTCAATTATTGGGACAAATCCAAGGGGTTTCGCACTGCATGCCGTACGGCAAAATAGTTAACGAACATCATTGTGGATATGGATACTTCATAAATAATCTATGAGATCTGTTCATTGTGCTCCACTCTACCATCATGTTACAGTTATTTTTTGGGTGCATTTGACGTAAAGTTTGAATTGCTGTGACATTTTCATCAATTACCCACAACATTTAGGCGAATTGTGTCGAGTACTAAATAAACCTCTCTTAATTGTTTAATACACATTGTGACCTCAATACTCGGTGTTTTAGAGAAAGGAGCTGTTGGTATATCATATTGACAATAATAATAGTAGTGATAATAGTTGTTCAGCTGTAACATCCTTTCGGTGCCTAACTGCAATGCCACCCAAATGAAGCACGAGGGCTGGGATACTGCCATATCACTCGAACATAGACGGGGGAAGTCGAGGGGCAGACACTGGGTCCAAACCACGGACTCTTCGGTCGGTAAATTCGCGTTTTAACCACTGAGCCATCTAGCTCCATATTGGGCATTAAGATACGACGAAATTCGTGCTTTCGTATGAAGCTAGGATGAAAACCAGTTCAATTATTACATTCAGTGACCCTTTTAATAACTTAGAGGGAAACTGGTAGACAGAAGCTGACGGTGAGAAAATCGTTGCCGCCCTAATAATCAGATGTGAACTCGGCTCCAGGCATGGGTGATGCACATTCATACGCGTTTGCGGCTGTCGTCCTAACCCTTCCGACGATAGAAAATGGGAAGGTCATTTCCCAAGCAAATGGAGACAATGTTCAAGGAGCAGAAGAAAGCCAATCCGGAAAACCATCGTCTCGTTAGCTTGACTTACCCCACTGAGAGAAAAGTGAAAGAATAGCAAGGTGAAGTAAAACCCCGCAAGGGAAACGCTCGGGCCTGAATGCAACAACGTCACAACACGTGCTACCAACCTTCGCTCCGCTATGAAAGGTGAACATTCGCTATAGACACTAGATGCGGTGATTCCAGTAGAACCTTCGACAGGGTTCCCCACAAGTGTTCATCGGTTATGCTCAAGATGTATGGAATTCAAGGCGACAGCTTAAATTGGATCCACGACCTTTTAATTGACAGAACGTGTCAATGATGCTTTCACGTCACCGCCTGTGACCAACATTGGTGTCGCGAGGATCCGTAATGTTTTAAGCACTCTAGCAAACGCCACTCCTGGAGCAATAAATATCGACAGTCCACTGCAGGTTGATGCACCGAAGATACATGCAGTAACGTCTGGTGACGAGCAGCAGTTCCAAAAACTCTGGAGTCGATGGATGACTAGTTATCCCGATGGCATCCACATAATCCCACATAATCCACTATATGGAGAGATACTTGCCTATTGAGACTCCTACGATGACAAGTTTGGGTTTTTGTACTGAGACACGAGACCTAACGAGGTCAGCGAAGGTCACGGACATCATCAACAGCAGCTTCAAAGACAGCGACATCAGTGTTGGCACTGATGCTTCGCCGCCGTACAACCATGTCGGTGTACTCCACTGGAGAAAAATGGGGTTTCGATATAACTGAGAGCCTTGCATCGAACACCCGAGGTGCTTACACCTCTAGCGCTCACTCAGACAGACACATCCAACGCTCAATCAGACGATCTGGAAGGAAACTGACAGCACAAACGCCGATATCGATTAGCCACAACTTTTTGCAACGTCTCTAGCCGAGCACAGACGGGGTCACGGGGACCCCATACTGGAAGGCGTACAACAGCAACAACACCCAAACTCTTCGTGATCTCTTTCACGCCTTTCTGCCAAGTCATGTGCGGTCCACCTCGCGGTTTGCGCCATCCTGAAGGAGGCGCGGAGAACAACACTCGTCTCGGTAGACGGTGTTTCGGCATGCGTAGCACATGATCGAGCCATTGCAGTCAATTATACTGGATGTTTTCCCGGATTGAGGTGCCTGCAGCACAACCAAATACCCGTTTTCTAATCGCCTCGTTACTGATACGCTGACGCCATCCACAACCAGCCACGCTTCTGAGGCATCGGTGGTCGAAAACCTGAAGACGTCTCACATCATCTACCCGAAGAGGCCATGTCTCGCACCCATACAACACAGCCCTTACTGTAGCCTGGTACACACGACCCCTAAGATCTAGTGAGATGCCTTTTTGACGCCACAAGTGACGCAAATTAGCGAACGTGATTCGAGCCTTTGAGATTCTTGCACTGACTTCATCAGACACATTTCCGTCAGAGCTCATAAAGCTACGGAGGTATGTAAAGTTTTCCACAACTTCCAGTGGTTCTCCTTGAGTTGTAAAGGATATGTTCGTAGATGGCACGTTCTGAAACAGGACTTTGCACTTTGAAGGTGCACGGCACATTCCGAAAGATGGCATGATGGCGGTCATTTTATTCAACAGGGCTTGTGCTTCGCTAAGGTCTTCAAAGATGAGGGCGATGTCATCTGCGTACTCCAAATCGACAAGACACTCACCAGCAACAATTTGAGCACCGAGGTTTTGAAGACCGTCCAGTGGTCGCCTCATTACTTCATCAATGACGAAATTAAATAAAAATGGAGAGAGTGGACATCCTTGTCTGACACCACTTTTTGTAGGAAAACTTTTGGAGAGCTCACCATACAATCTCAACCGCCAAGAATTATGTGGATATGGGGATCGGATTTTGTTTACAAACTTCTGGGGCATACCCTGTTGAGCAAGTGTAGTTAACAGCACTGATCGATCAACAGAATCAAACGCACCCTTGAAGTCAAGCAATACCAGAATTGTGGGTCGCCTGTACATGTGGCGTTGCTCTAACACCTGATGGAGTGTGAAGATGTGATCAACGCAGCCTCTACCCGGTCGAAATCCCGCTTGATTCTCACGAATCAAGGCTTCACGTGCCACCGTAAGACGACGAAGAATTAGTGGTGCCACAAACCTTGTCACAACAGGTGTCAAACTAACACCTGTAGTTACTACATTCACTGCGAGTACTTTTTTTTAAAAGGGCACCGCTATCGATTCACTCCAGTTTTATGGGACGGTCTCCTCCCAGATAGACCCGAATAGGCTACACAGGCACTAGCTGAGGAATCCACCACCATCCTTGAAAAGAGCATGTGGAAGTTCGTCAGGACCAGCAGCACGGTGACGCTTGAGTAGAGAAATACATTCGGACACTTTTAAGATTGATGGCGGCTCCATATTTACGGTCTACCTTTCTGTTTAAAAACAAGTTTCTGGATTGGAGATAGCAGATGGCCAGCTGAACTGCAGCTCGAAGTACTGTGCCCAACGTTCTGCTTTGCTGCACATCGGGGAGCCATTTTGGTCCCTGATTATTTCGCTGACAAGAGGTTCCTGAGGACCAGTAGAACAAATCAAGCGGAACAGTTTGCGCACGTTCCCAGCATTCTTTGTACCTTCCATTTCTTCGATCTTTCGGGTCTGCCAAGCTTCTCGGTGTGCGCGGACACTGAGTTTCACCTGGCGTCGGATGATCCGCCGAGCCGAGTCGTGGTGGCGACCAGGTGGAATTTGTCGCCGAATCTCCAGCAAAGACACGGTTCTATCAGAGATCCAATGCTTGGATGAGGTTGGCTGGGTTGCACCGCAAGCAGACGTTCCGGCTTTGAGTAGCACTTTGGATATTTTCCCCAGCGGCCGTTTATATCCGACACCATACCGTCCGGCAAGTATTCGAGGAGCTGATGCTAATAGTTTCGACTACTGGGTCCACTAGCTACTCAATGGCTAAGCGAGGTGTGCTCATTTTGCTGATGGCACTACCGATGTGGCATGAGAGTACTGTTAGTTGTGTATGTCATGGTTGTACGAGGGCTGGGATACTGCCAGGGCGCCCACACCTAGACAGGGGGACGATTAGGGTCGTCAACCAAAGCATTTGGCTCAAAAGCCTAACCGCAAGGCAGAGGTGTTGAGCTTGAAACGCAAGTACATTACCATTTTTACTGAACACGTCGCCATAAATGTTTCAACCCCCAACCCGGAGCGCCAGTAGACTGTGTTCGTCAGACCTACACCCATAGACCAACCTGGTATGAGAGACTATGGGATTGTCGCGCGTACACCCCCCAGTATAGCTCAATGGATCGCCGAGGTGCACAAACCGCCACACCACGGCAAGATCCACTCTCTTTCTGACGGTCACTCTGAATTGGGCACGGAAAATAGCACTCCTTTCTGCAGGCGCAACACATAGCCTAAACAAAGTAGCTCCTGCTGCTGGACACATTCTCAACGGAAGTTTCCGTTACCCAATCGGAAACCCGCTTTCTAAATGCTCCACTACAGATTCTCCAATACAAACCCACAGGAGATATGGTCCTGAGATTACGGTTGTCGAAGGCGTTTCAGTTCCGCTGCCGAAAGAAGCCATACAACAAAACAACTCAAACTTTGGCCTGATTTACGGGTTTTCCGCTTAGACGCCACAGACGTCCGAAATTAGTGTACGCAACCAGAGCAGTGCAGATTCACGCATTGACCACATCTACCACACTGCGCAACTTCGAGTGCCTCTTCCTGGGTTGCAAGTGGCGTGTTCAGTGATCGCACGTCTAGAGGTTTGACCTTATGCTCTGTGGATGTAAAGTGAACACCAAAAGATGTAAGTTGTAAGTTCATCCAAAAAACTGCGGATTCTCTTCGAAGACGAGAATGATCACGTGTGCATAGACATGAGTAATCTAAACGCCAGAAGTGGGTTTTAGCGACGGACATTCTAACTATTAGTTTCTCGCCTAAACCACAGAGCTATCTCGAGCTTTTAATGACATAGATAAACAAGTAATGGACGCTGGCAATTCACTACCATAAAAGTTGTCCTTCAGTGCATCGCAACTGCAATCCAAAGGTGTATAAATGGACAACGAGCGCTATAATCCGGCTATTTCGGGTTCCATCGGAGTGGGAAGTCGGGCAGGGGAGAGTCGGCTGGTCACAGCTATTTAGTCAAGCAATGAGGAATCACCTCGTGAGCTTAGGAATAAACCAACAACGATGCAACCCGCTGCAGAAGTTACCATGAGGGCGCTGCAACAAGGGTCTCCAAAACTGCCCTCAAAACTCAACAGGATACAGGAGGACGTAGTCAAAAACCTTCAACTTTGCCTATGGAATTATGGTGAAATAGCATACTGGCGGGAGTCAAGACCTATGAAATTCGAGGAAATTGAAAACTACCCTGAGTGAAAGTACCGAAATAAAGTCATTACCTGGTAAGATCGGATTATAGCCTGGACAGCCAAATGATCTTCAATTGTCTTTATATCGGGTTGCGCTGATACGCTGACACCTTGAGCAGCAATTGAGCTACGGCCAAGGGTAGGTGGTGGGATATATGCTTCTCCGGGAGCTGCGCCTGCTGCCACACGTCGAAAATAAATATCCCAAGACTGCTGATGAATTAAATTCTACTTAGTGTTACCTTGTGAACACTTGAAGGATTTTCCAACCATGCTTGGTAAATATCCTCCAAATAATTTGACGATGTGCCGTTGAGAAACGGTTCCTTGAAAACTCGCTGGGCACGAAATGATGACGTGCTGAGTACCCTGCACCCCAGAACAGGTGCTTTCAGCAATTTAAAGGCACGACAACCAAGCATTGCAAGTTGAAACAGCGCTGCCTTCAAGGCCGAAGTCTGACAGGCGCCCTACACCCAGTGTGCTATCACGAAGACGATAGATTCTCTGTATGCTGATTGGTTGAGTTATTGGCCCGTACCGGACAGGGCTGAACCTTGAAGAAGATCAGTATCCGCACAATGGAATTGAATTTTCGAAAGCTACGACGTGTCTCTGACAGACAAAGAGGCGAATAGTTGAGTTCAGAGTGGGAGTACAAACTTTTGAACCCCATATAGGCATCCAGGGGTATCATGGATGCTAGGAAAGTATTCCACCAAACTTTTCCGCCAAGGGTTTGATTGCTTCAGTGGACAATGAAACTCGGTAGGCTGCAAACATTTGAGAGTATATTGCGTTATTTTTTGGTGTGAGCACATGCGCCACAAAATGCAACATTCTTGCGCGAAAATGTTTACTTTACTTGCAAAGATTTTGCAAAAAAGAGCAATGTGCGGCTAATGAACCCGTGCCGAGCTTCAGGGGGATGCTTAGTATTCGTACGACGGAATGTGATTTTCAAGAGCGGCGACGTGTCTCTGAGGGACTAAAACTAAACGGAATACCACTCCACACTTTTGAGCACCGTTTAGGCATTCCGGGGATCTAGTGCAGCACCAGAAGCTGCGTTGGTTGGGACATGTGTTACGTATGCCGAACCATCGTTTGCCTAAGAGAGTGCTGTTTTACATGCCCAACTCAGAGTGGCGTAAACAGAGAGGTGGCCAACCCTTGACTTGGCAGAGGAGTATGAAGGAGATCACGTAACGCTTGGGTGCTGTCGGTGCTACTCGCCTTCCAGGATGGGGACCGCGTGATCCTCATTGTGCCTGGTTGGAGACACTACAAGATATGGCTGTCAACCGATATCAGTGGCGTTCTTGTCGTCAGTTTCTGTCCAGATTGCCTGAGTGAATGTCTGGAGATGTAGGCACCTCGGGATGATTGTGTTAAGCTAGCATTAAGTCCACCCCCGCCCACCTTTACTCTTTTCTTTACAACAAGGCTTCCAAATAAGTCGTGGTTGTACGGCAGTGAAGAATCGGTGTTGAACACCGATGTCACGCTGTTTATGATGATGAGGAGGAGGAGGAGAAGGAGGAGGAGGAGGAAGGGATTCCACCAGAGGTATGCCTGCCTCAGTGGACAATAAAATTTGGCGAGTTGTAAAAAAACATATATATCTATATAGATTGCAGTGCGTTTTGGTTTGAGCACATACACAACAAAGTGCAACAATTGGGCGTACAAATTTTATTCCACTCGCAAAGGTCTTGCAGATAAGAGAATTGTGCAGCCAAGGAGCCCGCTGCAGGAGTAGCTATAGGTGCGTTCGTTGAAAAATTGGGGGACTTCTGCCTTCCATCATCCACAGCGTTCTAGGCGGCGTTGAAGGAATGTATAACGGATAACAATGCGGTATTTTTGAGGGTATCCTCTAATCGGAGTGCCAACGCTGTTTTTTGCGCTACGAGTGGGTGTACTACAAATGCAGCATTCGGCCAGGAGACCAACGGGCAGATAGTCAATTTTGTAGTGTCAGGTGACGCCCCCGTTCCTAGCAAATCTTCGAGAGTCCCGACGTTTTCTTGTGTTGTAGTCAAGGAAAATAACGACAGCAACACGTGCTTCTCCAGATAAAAGCAGATGACGCTGTTGTGACGCTTCTCAGCTGCAGTAAATTTCGGTGAACCAAACTCGGCGAACCGNTAAATCTTTTAAAGTAACCAAAATCAAGCCTGTAGATACAAGATTTGAGCGTCCTGATCACAGGGGAATGGGTATCGGATGATCAGTAATGTATGCTTTCGTGGCTATTTACGTGTCGGCTGGGTCCGTTCAGCTGTCCGCTATGAGTGGCGTAGTTTCAATGCGGATAGTTGATTGGGCATCGTGGACCCTCGGGCATATTTTTGTAATTTGCGTCAGCTAGATTTATTCAGTTTTGCTATCACTGAAGATCAGCGTTTAGGGATCTTTGAATGGACTTGTCGTGGCCCCAACGCACCGGGCGTCCTTGCCCCCAGCAAGGGTTCACGTACATCATCCTCTGTGATAAGTAATCAGGCTATAGACAATAGATGGTTTCGCCTTGTCAAAAATGTGTGAGATCGATACGCTGGGCGGAATACAAATTCGCATAGTGTTCGGCCAATACTATTGGTTTGACATTGTTCTCCACATTTGGTGCGCAAGGAAGAAGATAGTCGCGCGCCTTTTTGTGTGCCCGATGTATTAAGCTAGTACATATTTTCGAGCACGACTTAGTATCGTGACCTATCTCTTCAGATTAAGTTGACGGACATGCGATCTGCAGTACTTCCGCAACTTACGAACGGCCAGGTGCCTCTTCATTATTTATGTAACGGCAATCTTTTGAGGAACAGATCCAGCTCTACCTTACTGAGATGTGATAGCTACTGGTTCGGTTGACTGCACGCCGGCTTCACCTACATTTGTAAATCTTCCGAATACCGTCATCGAAAATCTTCACTATTGAAGCCGGCTCCATTTTCAGCTGGTAGAATGAGATACCCACTCCTGGAAAAGCAAGGTGCCACAATTTCTCTACGGCCTTTTGAGCTTCAGCGTTCCTTCAGAGTTCCAATAGCAGATGAAGTTCAAGGTCAGCACACCGTATCAGCCGCTTGCTAGGGCAGCTTCATACATCGTTTGGTTGATTAGGTGTCTTTCATCGGCAGCAGCTAGACCAAACAGGAAAGATGACTGGCTTGTACACTGTCTGTCGGGTGCGCTGAAAGGTTTAAAACAAGCGATGTGTTGCGTGATGTCGGTCAGCGTTGATGAAAAATTTCTATCGAAGCTTAGGCGCTGACGTTTTATCAATGAATCTTGGACGCTCTAAAGCCATTTAGCGTCGAAATATTCAAGGGGAGGTGACTGAAATTTGCTGCTTGTGGGCTTACGTGAGGAGCAGTCTGACTCCCAAGGAGTGATGAGGGACACCCAGAGGTAAGGAGCCGTGATGGGCAGTTGCTTTCCATTGCCTATTAAATCCCAACGGGGCACACCTGTGGTGTTGGAGAGGACAAGGGAGGTGGAAAAGGACAGGTTAGGGAACAGAAAAAATCCTCCCCTCCTCCTGAGGTTGGAGTCCGCCCGAAAGTGAGATAACCCTCAGCGAAATCTTCGGCACCAGAGACGTCTCCCGCGCGACAAGAGAATTCGTTCGTTTATGGATGGTTGTTCTGAGCGAAGTTATATTCGTGTACCTGAAGTTAATGAAGCAGCCAATGAATAGACTGCTGAGAGGTACATGGTAGCGCCAAGCCACTGAACAGGTCACAAGCCTTAGTGGCTCCAAATCGGATATGCTTCCAACCCAAGATAGGGGTTTCAAAAGCCCTCTCGTTGGCTTTTTTCCAAAGAATTTCACCATTTTAAGCTTTGGGTTTGCGCGTTGTTCTTCCCACCCAAGAGTTCAGTTGGCGTCCACATATTGTTTCTCGGGGACGCGATACACACTCCTACAACCAAAACTTTTCATGAACTCTGTTTGCAGAGAGTAGAATATTAATTTTAAAATATCCAGTTGACATTGTTTACACAATTGTGCCTGAAGACTTGTAGCTTCTTTACATGGGCCGAGGTCCTTACCCAGAAGAAAGGAATCATTTTTGTAAGTATGTTTGCCTTAAATTCCACGAGGAGCATCCATATTTGGTAATGTGTGTTTGGCTGACTCGCCTGCTGTCACCTTTTTGGTATCCCATCTCCTTCGCGATCAGCGTGTTCAACTTAACGTACGCGGTAGTTCCAGGTGATTGATGACATAGGCTACCGGGGCCATGAGTGAAAACTTCGACTGCAATGGGGCTTTCCAATTGTGACGGAATTGAGATAGAGGTGTGTGGCTCAATACTTTTAAGTAGACGTGCGCCCATCCTTACCCCAATACTGACTGATTTTTTAATTGATCCAGCCGAGACTAGTTGCTTGGGTTGATTGGTCAGCAGCTGTAGGAGTTTGGCGGTGCCCTCTCAAGGTCAGCGTCATTGCTTGTTCCATCTGAAAGCACTTCTACAAGTTGTCGCACCCAAGCCACCCTAAAACTCATGTTATGGACGCAAATTTCAACGTGACGAGCCACTCATCCACTAGAGAAATGAGACGTTAATTTTGCAGTGCTGTTTATTTCACGTCCTCAAAGTTTTCACAGACAAAAGCCCCACCTCCGATGGCACACAGTGGGTTGAGAAGATGCTGCATTTTGCAGTTGCTGTCGACTCGACCGTAGAGCCCTTAAGAATAAAACGATCCATAATTTCTACAGGCTGGCCAGAAGTTTGAGGTGGATCATTTTGTTACTTAGTTCAGACCGGCATTTGAGTTCCTCTCGAGAACAAATCTAGCCCAGTTTTTATGCCTGTAGGAAGCAATCGTTGGATGTATGTCTTCTCCGAAAACCCCTTAGATGTTTGATGACATCTTAAGTGTTCTTCTACGGCCAGTGGAGCCGGATAAAAGACAAGTATTATAAGCATTCACCTTCATCCATGCGCCCACCAGTGACGCACTAGCAACTTCCAGCGCACTCATATGGCTGGAGACCCATCAGAAAGCTAGTGGACCTGAGATTTAAGTAGCTAGGTGGTTGCTGAATGAGGAGAGTTTATTGGAGACTTTATTTGAAGTTGTCTTTACCCCAGTAAGCCTCTCGAATTCCCCGTTTATCCCGCAGTTCCCCGCTGTACTGAAAAAATTGCACCAGTTTTTTACCAAGGATTTTAAAAAGAATTTCGTTTGACCGCTAACAGACCTTTGCTACCTGTGGAATGCACAGCAACTTTGATGTAACTGCAGCTGTTACAAGCTTGAAGACCCTTAATCTTGTGCGACCTGGATGAATTTTGACGTTCTTCATCACCATACTCCACAGAGGCTCATTCAATAGAAAACACGGTCGAAAAGTGCACGCAACTTTGCCCTCGAGAGTCGGGTCGCGACCAAGTGTCCAACATTACACCGGTTACATATCCATTCAAAGTTCAAGAAA